CCGAAATTTCATTTTCAATTATTGGAAAAAAGCTAAAAAGAAGTCCCGGAAAAGGTCGAACATAGTACAATTTGGCAGATGGCGTGACAGCTGTAGCTCAGTTCTATGCTCTATACTCTCATAGAGCACGCTCTTTCAACCAATGACAGCGCGCGTTATATCCGAACTTTATTATAACTTCAATTGGTCTCTGTGCCGGATTAATTAGACAGGGAGAAATCCAGCAGATTCGCAAGGTCTCAAAATATAATCTTGTTGTTGATGCGGTAAATCAAATCGCCCTCGACCGTACACTTTGCCTCCAGTCGAAATATCATGGGAAATTGCAATGATGTCAGTCAAGAATAGCCGAGCTTGACAAAGACATTCGGGAACTAGTAAAGGATAATAATTATATAAGTTAATGGTGGATGCCTCAACTTTCAGTCAAAAGAAAGAGTCCAGACAAAGAGCGGTCTCCTGATATAAATAAGTATGAATTCAATTTTTCGTGCCCTCTTGGGTAGTCTATACCTGAGGATTACCTTTAATCTCTTGCGTACCCTCTTGGGTAGTGTATACCTGAGGGTTATTTTTAATCTCTTCTATACCCTCTTCGGTAGTGTATACCTGAGGGTTATTTTTAATCTCTTCTATACCCTCTTGGGTAGTGTATACCTGAGGGTTATTTTTAATCTCTTCTATACCCTCTTGGGTAGTGTATACCTGAGGGTTATTTTTAATCTCTTCTATACCCTCTTGGGTAGCGTATACCTGAGGGTTAGTTTTAATCTCTTCTATACCCTCTTGGGTAGTGTATACCTGAGGGTTAGTTTTAATCTCTTCTATACCTTCTGAGGGTTATTTTTAATCTCTTGCATGCCCTCTTGGTTAGTGTATACCTAAGGGTAATTCTTAATCTCTCCTATACCCTCCTGGGTAGTGTATACCTGAGGGTAATTTTTAATCTCTTTTATACCCTCTTGGGTAGCGTATACCTGAGGGTTATTTTTAACCTTTTCTTATCCCTCCTAACTCAGAAGTCGCGTAAGACGATATTCATATGTGTGAATTTGTTCCCAATGACCTAAAATGCAATAACGATGTTTTAGACCAGCTTCTTCCCTGGTATAGTCGATTTTGACAAGACTGATGTCTTCGGAAAAGCTCAAAATGCCGTTCCAAACTGAAACCTTCGCACATAAAAGGTCATTATAAGAATAACTGCATTGCGCTGAAGCTTGAAGACCGAACGAGGAGACTATCAGTTGGAAGCGATGTGTATTCTCTGGATTATCTAATCAACACAGTTTCTGGACTTTAAAAGTTAAAAACCATGACCTGTATAAAGAAGGGTTTGTCGGAGTTAACCTTACGTAGGCCTAGGTCTTCTATCATGGAGGTGAAATCAGCTTTACCGGTGCCGCTTTTTAGGCTATTTTTGAGTCCCTTCGTTTTACGTGTTTTAAATTGTTCTTGCTATATGTTTCTGTAACATTTGGTCAGGAATATTCGTGGACCTTGTGTTAAAGATTTACTGTTGTCTTCTTTAAGACATGCATTGTCTTTACAGAGAAAATAAGGTTAGCGTATCGCCCTTTAAGTTTTTTCGAATTAGACCCGTTAAGTTTGTACGAGACATTTCTCTGGACTCTTGTTTCTGGAAAATGAGTGAACAAAGTAGAGTTGCATCTTGAAAATGATTGGAATTGTAATCATCGGAAGTTGCGGTTTTTTCCATTTCATTCGAGGGGAGCATAATTACATTTTTTGAAGCGATTATCGGATGTCCTGGAATTGTTAAGCGAACACCTCGTGCCACCAAGAGGCGTCGAACCTTGGCTTGAATTACTTATGCAAATTAGCTGGCTGGACATTCAATGTGCAGCGGCATAAAGGGTTAAATATGGACTGGACTATTTTTTGGACCATTTTAAAGGGGGGAGCACACCATTAGTACTGAGGGAAGGGTGGGATGAAGTCCATCAGTACTAAGGGAGGGGTGGGAGGTGGAATGTTATTACTCAGGGAGGGGTGTGAGACGGACTAATACAACGCAGGGACGGGTGGGAGGTGGTTGTAATAGGAAACACTGCTGGTTAACGGAGCTTTTACTCGATCGCACAAACAATTTTAATTGGTTTTTCGACTGTCGAAACGTTGGATCTATGAATTGTAACTTCTTCGTTTACATTCATTAAATCTGCAAACCAGAGTAGCATCAAACTATGTCTGATTGTCCACCTGGTTGCCGTGAGAACTTTAATATATTTTAAACATACCTTTACTTCACTTTTCAACGCTATAGTGTTAAAGAATATGGCTACGGATCTTGATCATGACCAATATATATTCATGGCAAAATTGGGATCAGGGAAAAAGTCCGAATAACCGTGAAATCCGGATAATCTAGGTCCGGATAATCGATAATCGGATAATCATGATCAAACACATCGAACTTATTTCACGATGAATCCATATTAATCCTGTGAGCCAAAATATTCATACTCATTTAGTTCCGAAAGTTTAAAGTTGACTCAGTTGATTAACATGGAGCGGTTAGAAAGCACGTCCTTAACTGAATTTTAATACTCTCACAAAGAGGGATAGAAAAACTGAAAACTTATTTCAAAATCAAAATTAAAACCGCAAGTTTAAGAAATTGTATTCTTGTTGCGCCAGAAACATTGTAGAGATTCACAACTTAACTTAACGAGCTCAAACCTTACCATGTGTCTTGTTCTATTTACAAACATGACACTATCGACATTGCTGATTCTAGCGATATTCAGGACGCGTGTCATATGAACTACGCAATATATCTCGTTCATCGTAAAGTCTCTGTGGCTCCGTGGTAGAGCATCGGAGCTCTGAGGTTTGATTCCTCGTGGGTACTCAGAATTTTTTCTTTGTCCCATGCTCGTGACAAGACGAAAAACATCTTCCTCTATTTCTTTACCGAGCTCAAAACTTACCATATCTCTTATTCTACAATTAAAGTGGGAATTACCAATCAGATGTTCATATACATCAACGAATTGCTAATCAAAAATTTAATTAAAAAGCTCCTAAGGTGATAAAATAAAAAATTAAATTTTCGAATAATATATTCTGTAACCTGTGGACACAATGCCTTTGATTTCTATACAATACTCCGATTTCGACAAACTGAATTGACGGACCAATTACAATTGACATGTAAAATAACACAAAAGCCTTCAGTAAGCGGATAAAAAGTAGGAACTTTGAATGACAGATATTGAAAAAATTATTGTTTCATTAGATATTTACGCTTGTTTAAACGCTGTCATCTTCAGGTGAACTTGGTATCGATTGTCTGGGACTAAATCATTGATTGACTCAAAACTCAAGAAATGACCGAGAAGAATCCTCAAGGTAAAGTTATTTTTATGTTATGCAATTCTGGCAAAAAAGAAAATGATAAAATTGTAGAGTAATTCCTTAAATCATTTCTACAAAATTACGTTTTATGATGACAAGGGTCAAACTGATCATATTCATAATCTTTGTAGTAGATCCTCCACCATATACATCGCCTGCGCAGCCTCCTGTCTCAGCTCAACCTGGTAGCCCTGCTCAGCCTGGATATCCACCCCAGCCTGGTTACCCACCTGGTTACGCAGCCCAACCAAATTACAATGCGCAGCCAGGTTACCCAGCGCAGCCTCAACCAGGGTATCCACCTCAGCCTGGGTATCCACCTCAGCCTGGGTATCCACCTCAGCCTGGGTATCCAGCACATCAACCGGCAGCGTATCCTCAACAGTCTGTTCAGCAAGTACAACAAAGCAACACTGTGATCAATATTGGCGCCCCTGTAAGTTTAAGACTGATTGTTGACATTATTTCCTGCCTTTACCGTGTAACTACATATCAGTTGTCTTCCCTCTTCAATGCTTAGTCTTCCTTTCTGTTTATAGAACGTTAAATTGACTTCTCTATTCTTGCACAGGCTCCCCAGACTATCGTGGTGCCAGTCAATCCTCGTCCTCCAAATCACATGTGTTGGTCTGTGTTAAACTGCCTTTTCTGTGCATGGCCCATAGGACTGGCAGCTATTGTGTTTTCTTGCATGGTAAGACAGAAAAAGTTTGAAAATCCATCATATGAGAAAACGGAAAACGGGCTTAGAATTGTACGTGCTCGACCTTGCAAAGCTCGGTCTGTGATGCTGAATAAGATCTCTATTGAGTCTCTGTATGAATACCATAAATGTTGGGGAATAAAGTATTCGCGACGATCATGAAGCTAACGTATGGATAACCTTTTAACCAACTATAGTCGTTTCAGCAAACTTCGTGCTCAGGATCTGTAATTATATAGTGCATTCACAGTCATTCTATAGCAAACTTGAACACAATTTGTTCATGATGTCCAACAGTCTCATTTCAAAAAGTAATATTGAAGTTCAAGACTTGCAAAAAGGTACTGTGGTTTGAAACCTCACACAATATTCAACATTATTTCTCATCACAATTGGCAGTAATACCACAATTGATTGGCCAATTTGCCGTTGTCAAAAAACCACTAAACCACTGTTGATTTGTTAAATCGAAAATGGTTCTTTTCAACCGTTGCAAGATAATCAATACTGGGGCTATAAAACTTTATTTTGGTTACATAATCTCCTTTCTTTGTTGTTTGTTTGTTTGTCTGATGTTAGTTTCGTTTGTGTATTTGAAGGTGGACAGTTCATATGCTGCAGGAGATTACGATGGTGCCTTGAGGAACTCTAACATTGCTAGGTGGCTCAATATTGCATCTATCATCTTTGGCCTTATCATATACATCAGTATCGTATCCAGCTCGGTTGCACGCTAGTTAATTTAGTCTACAGAACAAGCAGAAGATTAAGGTAGAGCTCATTTGCCAAATCGGGTTTTTTCTCTTTTGCAAAATTTTGGTCATATAACACGTACTCAACTGTTTATCATAACATAATTTAGCATAAATTTCAATTATTTCCAATCGAGGTTTAGTTCTTTTCTAAATTCTTTTTAAAACCTGATGGCCATTATATTTTACGGTTACATTTTACAGTTACAGCGTAATTTTTACCGCTCGTCGCTGTACTGAATGAAATCTTCTTTCGTGCGCTTACAATTTGACTGGATTTTAGATTTTATTAAAAAGATGGAATCCCGTCTTGCATGAAGATGGATGGATGATAAGCAGATTTTTGCATTTACGCTAGTCTTTTCTTTTTTGTATTGACTTTAAAGTTCGAGCAATAAACGGGTGTTTAGTATACCTCTTTTCATTGCATGTTTATTATTCTGTAAACCTATCATGTCATGTCAGCACTCACTAACCCAAAAGAATCAATAACGCCGAGGTATGTGACCCTGGCTGTCGCAAAATGATCACTGAGAAAGTGGTGTCTGGTTAGGTACTACAGGATTTATTCAATTCACTCGTCGTGTTCGTGGAAAAAGAAAGAATCGAGGCCTGATGAGGATTGGGCATTCGAGAGGCCCTGTGTTAGCCGGTAGGATTCTTCACACTAGCATCCGGGTCGAGATGTCTACGTTGAAATTCCAACAAGAAAAATTTCAGAAAACGAAACATACAGAGTAAAAGGCTTTTGAGCCGAGGCTCAAACTCAGTGTCTTTTCGCAAGCTAGTATTGTAGCGCATGCGTTAGTCACCTACCGTCGTGCATCGCTCAGTTCCAACAAATTTGTTGGCGGTCTTGGCACACTGTTTTACTAGAGTTGGCATAATGAAATAGTCAAATGGCCGACGGAAAAATAAATCTTTTGTTTCTCCCCACGAGCAATTTCCAAAATGGAATACACGCATTTTTTGACAGTCGTTTGTTGTTGCACACTGTTGAACTTATATCTCCGGCTTATAAACAAAAATAGAAAGCGGTCCAGTATTCATATTTCGTTCGTCTCATTCGTTATACGCTTGCTTTCAGCCTCTTTTCGCTACTTCTAATTCTATCATTCTTGAGTTTACGACGAGTTTAATGTGATCATCTTTATATACCTCAGATATGATAGAATTTTGCATTGGTACTTCTACAAATGTTGAGACATTCTACTTCAATGACATGGATTACTGATAAACACGAAAAGATAAAAAACCTCAAATCATATGTTACTGCGCCCGGTCAATGAAATTACAGTCGAAATGAACATGAACTCTTACAGCGCTGATTTTTCCTTCCCGTCGTAAACAAAAGCATCTATGTTTCAAGTTCATTTATGCCTCTCGGCATTAACTGTGTTGTATAGACCCATAGCGATGGTTCCTCCAACCAGGCCTACCACGGCACCTGACACAGCTGAGCCCCCTAGCAAAAAGTGTATAGTTTCCTTTTTAGTTTCTTTACTTATCTTGCAATTATATTATATTATATTAGTTTCTATTTTTATATTGTATTATACATTGTAATTATTTCTGAGTGAGGGCCACAAGTTTATTAGCTATGCTATTATGTGTTACCCTCGTAAAATAAAGTCTTTATTTATTTATTCCCACTTGCACCTCCTACGGATCCAAGAATGGAAGCTTGATCTACTCGTATTTGGTTCCGGTTATACCTGGATCAAAATAGTAGAATGTATCTTTTAGCATTCTTGTAATTAAACCTACTGCAAACTTAACGGAGTACCAGGTAAAAACAAGTACAAAGGACTGCAAACTTAATGGACTACCGGGTACACACAAGTACAAAGATATTTACCCCCTTCGTCTCCTTCGCAAGTCCGGCTCCACTTTAAAGCTGAGAACTGTGTATATGCGTGCAAATATGCCAGGAAATTGTGAAGGACAAGAAATAACTTGATTTTCAGAAAACTGGAAAAACACACCCTTTTCAATCCTTTACATCCCTACACGCTTTCCTCTGCACGTTACCTACAGCACTGACTGAGAGAGTTTGTTTAACAGTCCAGAGCCTCTTTACACGGCAATCATTGACATCATACTTATAACTTAAGTCTTTGACTCGGCTGTGATCGATATCACTAGGATAAATGATTTGTTAGTCGCTCTAAGGGGTTATAGGGTTAGGTTGATTTCAACACATCTCGAAAAAAGAGGCTATGCATATACATAAATTCTTAAAATCTTTCTACCTTAATCTATATGTACGATCAAACATTCCGTCATCATCAATGCCTGCACCACTGTTAGCCTTTGCAAAAGTCATTAGAGGTCCCAGAGGAATCCCAATGATCGCTCCATTTCTTCCATACCGAAGAGCTGTCTCTTTAACGGCCCCTAAAGTGCGAGGGCCAGCAGCAAGGCGAACTACGGGAGCAATAATGACCATACCAAGAAGCGCCCCAGCTTGAATGGTCTTGAAAGTAACATGAGTGTAGAGTTCTGTTGCCGGGTACTTTATTTTTCTCATTTCTTCATCTGTTAGCTTTTGACCCAGCATGTTCCTCCACCAAACAAAGTTACTCATGGCGTCTTTTAAATGTGATCTGCAATGCTATGAAAAAATCGACAACAACGTCATAGTTAGTCACATGATTCTTCCTGGCTCTCTTATGGAATTACAGGCTCCAGGCCCTCAGTCCGTGGAGACTAAGTACAAGGCGGGCGAGAGAAAACGAGCGGTTGTAGTTGTGAAGTAATTAACAGCTCGTTTATGTGACCCCCTGTTTTTCATGCGCCGCGGACTGAGAGTGTGACACAAGCTAAAACCCTTCTGGTGAGTGAACAAGTCACGCCTCAGCATAACACAACTGAGCACATTTGCTTCTATGGCAAAAACCTATCGAAATCCATGACGTATTACAAAATAATTTATTGTGGGGAGATTTGTAGGGTGAGAAAGTGATATTTTTATGAGCACCGACTTCACTCGCCTTTAAAAGGATTCGTATGATATGTAAATTTTCTTTGATGGGCAAATCTGGACTGACGATCCAAAAGACCTATTCATTCCCTACCAAAAAATCATCAGAGTGCAAACTAGCTTGCTAAAATTATTTTTGAATTAAAAAAAAATCAAAGGAAGACAAATTGTTGCAGTTATCGACCTCCAAAATTTCCTATGATGAACTTGACGCTGCTAAATGTCACGCAAGCGTTTCTCGTAAAATTTAAATGATATTTTTATTTCTTTCGGCTTTAGAAAAAAAATCTCCTTTAAAAAATTTAAAGTTGTGACATTAAACATAGCCCCTCTATTTTTTCAAAGGCCAAACCGCAAACAATAAGTAGTTAGAACTAAGTAAGTATCTAATGATCTAGTTTCTTTGATCTGTTTACATATAGCATCAATTAGCAGCGACATGTTTTTCCAAATGGACCTCGGGCGCTTTAAATTCGTTGCTTTACGAGGCAGAAACTTCGTTCCTGTGCTCTTTCAATCATTTCGAAGCGCAAGGTTTGAAAAACTTTTGGTTTCAACCAGCAGGTAGCTAAATGGCCAATCGCAAATACTATCAAGAACTAGACGCAATATTAGAAAGCTTGTGCAGAAATTCACGTACCTGACTCTGTGGATACACACCAATGATAAGAAGTTGTTTCTCGCGTAGCTTTGCCAATCGGCTATAACAAAGATCAGGCTACAAAAATTGGCTCTCTTGTCGAGTATTTCCTCAAAACAAAGTTTACGTGTGAAGCTAGGTGTGATATCGTGACCTTGTGCAATAACAACTCACAAGCGAAAGCAATATTTTCGTTCAGCGGTAATTATCATGCAAATTTATATATACGTGTCTTAAAAGAAGAATAAGATCAGAAGTATCGTCGACAGTTGCCAGCTTCAAATCATCTTACAGAGTTAAAGAGCCGAGTGTAAGCCTCAAAAGAGTTAAATTATTTATATTTATTATTTTTCAAACTCATAGTACGTTACAGTTACATTGGTTAATGCATTGAAGACAGAGCACAGGTAAATTACCAGTACTGTACTGCAAAATCTCTTTGTTTGACACAGAGATTCAGCACTCAGTGTTCGAATGAAAGAATTACATTATTTCGTTCATCAAGCAATTTTTCGGTTTCAACCAGAAGGCGTTTCGGAACTCATTCTTCCGTTTGCTTTATCGCTGCCAGCGTATGATTAAAAAATGTAAATGTCTTTAGAAGGGGGTCCCATCGTATCTTTGGTTAAAGTTAATTACGTCTGGATCTGCCGCTGTGCCGTAAAATCGTGTTTGAAAGCCGGAATGACAACTTCGCTTGACCCCTTACACCTTAACATCAGTATACATATTCTCCAAACTGTCCTTCATGCATTTCCTTAGGTGCTCACATGGAAAATTTGTTTAGTTGGTGATCATTTCCTTTATTCTCGTAACCTTCATGCGTGATTCAAGGGTTATATTGTGGGGAGAAATACGATACTGGTCTGTTTTAGAGGTCAAAGGGTTGGTAAAGAGAGCCATACTTCAAACTAACAAGCTGAAGTCTCATTGTTATGGTTTGACGCACAATCGCATAATTATTAAGAGAGGAAAATCGAAACGAGTTATTTACATGGGGTTTTGTAGGATGTTGAGGCAATCAAGTATGTTTTCAGTATTTTCTGAGAAATTCACCCTTTGAATGACTTGACTTTATCGATCCAACTGACTCTTAGCAGTTAGATCAGGCTGAGAGGTTTGCCTATCGTAGTTTTGTGCTGTCCGAAACACCACTCCTTTTTGCATCGGCCATAACGCAACCTCTTCCGTTAAAGTTTTTTTCTTCTTGTTGATCGTAGATTATCTTATGTTTAAGGTAGATTTCTACCATGTTCTTGGTTCTACCATCCACACGCGCATCGCTAGTTGCTGGTGAAAGGCCAGCGAGGAAGAACCTTAGGATATGATACCATTATCCCATGCAGATGGTCCTACCTCCAAGCCAGGACTGAACAGAGACTCAGATTGACTGTCGCATATTCTACGCTGAGGTTCATCAAACCTTCTCCATTCTTGTTTCGCATGATATGAAATTTAGTCACGCCTGAAATTTGAAGTGAACTCCCAAAAACTATGAGATAGAAGGAACGAGATGAAAGAATATCAGATAAAATGACGCTCCAACTATTCCCAGCATGCCAAACACAATAGCCGTCATACTCCAGTACTTTGCATTTTTCGATTTCTGCACAGCACCTTCTCTGTTTCCATCATCGTAGGTTCTGTCCACCTGTAATGAGGTGAACATAACAGACTGTATCACAAATCTAATAATCACAGTCACGATAATTATACTTCTGAGGCAGAGCAAATGCTTCGAGTGGTTTCAAATGAAGTGGAAGCAAATTGGTACTAGTCTCTTTTCCAGTCGACGTTGGGTCTTGGCAAATAACCTTGTTACTCGTGAAAAGAGACCTGGCACAAGATTGGTACCAGAAATAAAAATTGTGCGATGGAGTGGTGAGATTTCTAAGATTTTAAAGTTATTCTTCATGTTCTTTGAAAATATTCAAACATCAACAAGATGGCACTGTGAGGAAAACTCCAGCTAAGAAGACCGTATGATTCAATTTTATTTCCTTTCTTTTCAGAGATTTTTTTGTTTCCGTGTTTGGTCGGTCACCACTGTCTTGAGGTTTTGAATTTATTTCTTCATTTCTCTTAATTGAAGCAAAATAGTAAATATGAATGAGATTCGTGATAACCGCTAATGTTCGAAGAATTATTTTTAAAGCCTAAAAGCTTAGTTTCTTTTGCCATGGTGGGTTTTTCAGGTCATTTAGTATTGATTTCGTTTTAGTCCACTTCAAATTTCAAACACTATCCAATCAAATAAGTAAAAACAAAGTGTCAGCCGCAGCAAACGAGCATGTATACCTCTGGGGTATTTTACCTGTAGTGCACAAATGAATCCGACCACACCAAAAGGTAGGCAGCAACAGATTATTGCAGTTATTGCCAGACAAAGGTGGTTGTCTGGCCGAGGAATAAGTAATGGCGGAGATTGCTGATATGTTGAATAACGAGATTTTCTTCTAGATTCGTCCTTCGACAAAAATAATGAGATTTATGTTAGTGCACTTGACGTTAACAGCGTCGTTAGTCTTCCTTACTGTTTGGCGTACCTTACTGAAGAAATGTAAAAAAAATAATTATTTAAAAAACTACTTATTTAGAGAAAGGCTGATAGCACACAAACCTGAGCCGAAGGTATGACTGTAACGCGGACCTGCCCTGATGGGTCTGTATCTTCTGATGGCCAACTGACTATATCAAGATTTACAGTTGAACCAGGCAGAGGTGTAACATGATCTCCTTCCTCTTCCTCGTCGGTTTGATCTGAGACGGTAAGAGATGATTTTTTTATCTCTTCGTTCTCTGATATATTGAGATTTTGCTGCTTGATGTGGCCATTACGTAAGACTGTAAACAAAGACAAATTAATCCGATTGGTCAAAAACGAAAATGCAATGTAACGTGGTCTTGAAGAGCTTTTTAAGTGTTGGAAACGAAACATCTTCTAGACATATCATTCACTAACCTGTAGTCAGGCCATGAGAGTAGACATGCCTATACGCGGAAGGGTGCAAAAAATTATTCGGAAGAAAACTGGTAGCAGCTGAAGGGGAGAATTATGAAATAGATCTGAGGACGTTGGGGGGTTCAGAGACAAATTTATTGTGAAAGAAGATTCTAATTGGATTATAATGTGAGGCTTTGCCATCTTGGTCGAGCGGGAAAACATTGACGTTCCCGTGACATGATCTGGCTGTCATAACGCACAATTCAGTTCAAAAACTGTCATTCGAACGCCTAAGGAATGTCTCTTCATGCATGAGTTTTTGTCCAATCATGATCTACCATTTTAAACCAGAATTCGTCTATATGTTTTGGTTAAGACACAACGCAGGATACTGGAGTTTTCAGTCCAGAGTAATCGAACAAACATCTCAATGTATATGTGTGACAGAAGGTGCAGATATCCAAGGTTAAGATAAGGCAAACAAACTTGCAAACCTTTTAATTCAAATTGTTTTTTCGAAAATGGCAGATGAAATATGCATATTTGTTTGCTGTCTGATTAACCTTTCAACTCCCAAAATCTGAATAGTAATTCTCCTTACTATCTGCCATATAATTCTTACGATGTCAGTTTGGAGAGAATGGTATTGCATTGGATCAACTAACAATCCCCTAACTGACATTTTTCTTTGTTCTCATCCTTTTTCTATTTGGTATTGTATTGATAATATAAGGAGAAATTCTGTCTTAGTTACTCATAGGAGTTAAGGGTTTACAATATTTCTGCTTATTTTTCTAACTCAGGCTAAGAGATTCCATCAACATAATTTAGGATAGTTTTCCATTTTGTTTTTTTCTCCATTCTACGATGTTAGCTCTAGCCCCCTACTTTTTCCTCTTTCCTCAGGTAATGGATCGATCAGTCTTCTCTTACATAATGATGTCTCTTTGAACCACTAAAAACTAATCCAGAGTGTTCGGACAGCTTGTCTTTTGTCATGATCACCATCTTCAACAGCCTTTCCTTTTACCGCATAAATTTGTGATAAGACATTGGCTTTTGTTCCGAAGACCTAAAGGTGTCCACCAGAACTAACAAAGAATGTGAACGCGTACATTTCAAAGTGTGACGTTTACTTCGATTTGTACACTTTTCATTTACTTGTAGGAATCATAAAACCCTAAAACAAACATACTACTCAAGAGAGAAAATTCATACCTCCATTAAGTTCCATTCCTCTCATCGGGCTACGCAATTTCTATCTGTTCCTGGCCAGTTTAGGGCAGAAATGATTCCTGCTGAATATCATATGAACGAAAAAAAAATAGTTGAAATCAACCTGGCATCACCATCGTTAGCTGTCAGACGATAAGGACATGACAAATTCGTAATCTTACATTATTTTCAAGTGCAATCTATGTGACATATTTCGTCATTAATCATCATTAATGCAACAGTTTACCTCGTATGAAAAGGAAAGGAACTCTATTCTTCATGAATGGCTCTAGTTTTCCCAAGAATATGATTGCATACATATATAGAACTCGTAACACGAGTGATGAGTCAATGCGATATTTAATGAAAGTAACTAGGCGCTGTAGTGTGCCTAGTTTCACAATATCACACGTCAGCGCTACGCGATCAGGTAAAATTTACGACAGTACCAAGGATAAGATATGCTGATAAGAGAGAGAAAAGACCTTATACATGTAAATTAATGTTAATCTGAACTCAGTGACACCAGGAAATCCATTATATATTATCATTTGAACATCGGTGAATGTGATTAGAAAATGAACAGAACTCCAATTGGCGATAAAATGGTTGACACGTTACCATTTAAATTGCTCCATTTTAAAATGGAATACAAATATTTTATTCCTAACAACCTTACTTTCAATTCCTCCTCCTTGGTATAATATCGCACTTTGTTTCCTGTGACTGTACAAAATTGAATGGAGGAAGAGTTATATGATGCCTAACTTCACCTCGATTCAAATTGCATCTCTAAATACTTCCTTAAAAGTGGCTCCATAGGATTTGAAGCCATTTTGTTGATGTTGTTTTTTAAAAATCCAACTTCGATATCTGTTCTTGAACCACACGTGGTACAAGAAAACTGTTATATTTTCACTCACTATGTGGTTAGTCGAGTTTCACTTAGGCATAGAGATCTTCTGCTTAAGAACATACATGTAGTAGCAATTATGCGACCATTTAGGAGTAGCAAGTGTTTTGCGATATAAAGCGAACCATATCATATCAAATATTTTATATTTCGTATAAATGTTAATGCCATCATTTGAGACTGCTCCTTCATTTAGTCCTTAAGCTTCTCTTTGTATATATACCAATTTGTTTAGTTTTGAAATAAAAATTCTAGCGGAAAATCCATTCAATAGATTGCCTGAGTTCAAGGAGTCGGCTATGTCGCAAAATGGACGAGTCCATCTTACAACAAGAAAGAAACTTTAACCTACAAGTTTGGTAGTTCGGTCATCGTGCATAAATTAAAAAGGAACGGGTACTGGTGAAGAGTCAAGACACTCTGTTATGATTCTCCAAAACACTTTTCACTTTAAACTCTTCCAGATTAATAATAAACGTTGATTTCCACGGCAGCACACAAAGTTGTTTACAAACACAACACAATCTGAACATGTGACGTATACCATGCTTTTACGGAGTGTCACTCCAGTATTGACCACTTGATACGGACAGTTGACTTTTTAAGTCAATATCTTTATTATCTTTGCGATTCGTAATGTAAACAAGAAACTCTGAAAGACCAAAAATTCCATTGAAGTTAACTCAAGCGGCTGAAATTTAAACTCAACGAAAATTGTCAGCTCTTGTCTTTTTAGTAATGGCGTTATCTTCCAAACTAGAACAATGAGTCGTGGACCGGGAAAAATGCACAACTACCAATTCGAATGTGCGCAGCTAAAAGCAAGTTGCCAATGAATACAAAAAGCGCCAGGCGGCTTTCAGTTATTGTCATAACAATTTCTCTTCATCTTTTGTTCGATAGATCAACTGCTCTCTGTATGAAACAAAATAAGTTTTTGAGGAAAAAAAATTCCCGCTGGCTCTAATTCCACTTGATAGCCGAACTAAACCTACATCGGATGATTAAATGATCACGTAACGTAGTGATTCCTCTCTCGAGAAAGAAACTAACTGAACTAACCAATGTGGACAATGTTTATGTGACATTCACTTCCGTTGACGATCGAAGCACTGCTCAATAACTTCATTTGAAATGAACCACCAGAGAGGAAATCTAACAGCAACCAATTTACCCAACCACAAAGACGGTATTAAGTCAAATTAACACCTATGTTAGACTTAGCTTCGCGTGACTACCAGTAGGTAACGCTGTTTAACTTGAGGTCTTGACAGATTCAAAAACTATTAATTCAGATATGTTCTACAATATCTCACCTTCTGTTCATTTGCAACGTTCCTCTCTCTTTGGCACCTTCACCACCTTTAAATCACGTTTTGTTACTCTAACCGTTTTTACGGCACCGACGATCCATTACGAAATATTACCGACGCCACCCAAAAATCTTCCGTGTAATAATAAAGGATTCAATTAACATATGATTGCGCTCGTGACGTCTTCGCTACAACATTAGCCTTCCAAATTATCAATAAGGTATTCAGTGATTAAGAAGATACGTGTGTCTTTTCACTCGCATAGAAAGTAACTCATTACAACCATTTGTGAAATTCAAAGCATTTCTATCGCTTTCAGAAAATCCTATGGCGCCAAGTAAAACTTGATTCATACCTTGATCATCTTCAAATTACCGTAGCTTCTAAATTCAACCTGTCTGTAGGGTTCAATAACCCCAGTTACGTTGAGACGTCACGTAGCTCTTAGATGGCTTTCCTTGTAATAGTTTAGTTAATGGTGACAAAATAAGAGGCACTTAGGCGAAAATTAGGGGGGGAGGAACAATATTGGATCGGGAAATTTTCTTTTGTATTCACTTGGTAATTTCAAACCTTTAGATGATTTTCAATTTGTGCATTTTAATCCAAGGCACTTTTAAGCAATTTGAAGTCATTGTCTAATGACTCGATTTAAGTCTTACAAGACGCTTAAGGCGCTCAGTCGTCCATGCGATTCACAATGAAGCAAGCGTTAACTCCTTTCAAATCAATCATCATTTGATTATTGAAAGTATTATTGCATTGGATTTATTGTACTTCGCTCTGTGATTGGTCCGCAAACCTCGCTGCATCCTCTTCACCAATCATGCGGCGCCACCAAAACCCAACTGCGTGTTGGTTACTGGCATTTTCCCGCGCTTCAGGCCGTTTCCTTTTTTACTCTTGGATACACGAAGGATAGGAACGAATAAAGTAGGGATTAGTGGCATTAGCACGGCCTTAGGAATTTGGAGAGAGCATGCATCCTAATTTTGGGAGGACATTTTCGGGATGATAACCAGTGCATTACCAGTGGTGTATACACTCAACTTCGATCTTACTGACCCCTTCTTGATCTGATTCTAAGAGCTCCAGCGTAGAAGGGTACGCTGTCTGTTTAATCGAGAAGATTTGCTCTAAGATCCCTCAACATATCCAAATACTAATGTAAGATCGAAGTACATAAGATAACTCTTTGCATATTTAAGCCGACCGTATCGGGCCCGCGGCGCAGCGCTTATTCAAGGGAAGGCACGTGGGGAGTTGGGTGGGAGGAGGGGGGGGGTTGTCTTCGGCGGTTACTAGCATAGTAAAGACTTGTTTAGTGAAAGTTTTATGGCGCAGCACAATTATGCGATGTCTCTTATTTTGTTATACTTACATTCATCGAGGCAGTCGCCTCCAGATGAATTAAGAGCTTAGTGTCGGTTTTAATGCCTGTCCACGCCAACTGTACGTCATTCTTGCTTGTAACTATCGATCTAAAGAGTAAACAATACAGAACTGAAGTACTTGTCGTTGCTGTTTTTGTCTTTTTTTTAATCGTTTCGTTTACTTTCATCGATATCGTTGTCTTTATTACTGTCGTTCTCGGTGCCATTACAGTTGTTGTCGACAATATCGTCGTCAATGTCGTTATTGTTTCTCGTTATCCCTACTTTACCTTTATCGTCGTAGTTATTGTCATGTCGTCGTTATTGATGTCATTGCCTTTGTCGAGGTACAGAAGAGAGGATTTGAGTAGTGATGTGTAGTGCCTATATATCACGTGGCGAATCCTCCTAACAGCTTCCACGGTCACGTCGCTTCACGTCATGGTCATCAGTGTCAGAGATGGTGATACAGGTGATTTTGGCGCGTGTATTAGTGGCTAAGGGCCGATTCTGGCGCAAACCATTATTTCATCGCAGTGACTCAATAAGTACCTATTCAAAACTTTATCTAAGAACTTGTCCAAAAACTGGCTGTTCAAGCACTTATCAAATAATTTATCTAATAACTAATTGAAGGCTGCTGGTAAAATCATGGTTTGCGCCAGAATCGGAACTTTCCTACAACTAGTGTTGTTTTCACTTTGTCCTGCCTGAGATGCGGATTTGGTGATGTATCAAGTTTAAGTCAAACTAGACGCTCATAGACGTAAATGAAAAAAAAGATCAGTTATTTTTGTCAGTTGATGAGACCATGAGGTGATCCTTTTCAGTCAAGAAAAAAAACCTGTGGGTTATGAAAATTGCCACATTAAGGGTTTTTCTACTAAGTATGCGAAACTGAACTCCACTGAGGAAGTGAAGACCAGGATAACTAATTATCGTGTCATTTGAGTTAATCTAATTTTACCGGATCTGGAGATGTTTCTTGTCAAAACACTTCGGCACTCCTTAGACTTTAGACCTTGAATGTATCGTCACTAACAAAACATTGTACAAGAAAAATTATTGAGCGCACAAACACCTTTAAGATTTTCGTTTCAATCTATTGGAATTAATGGGCTGCTGCTATTCTGCAATATTATAGCTCCGTAACTTCCTGTGGAGAAGCAACATGTAAGTGGATTGCGTGACAAATCTAACGGCTTCAAAATTGAAGCGTTGCGTATAAATTTATCATATGTGAAATATTCCCCTTGAAGATAGCGTTAAAACTCAAAAGCAGCTCCTTTCTCGCATGGTGTAAGTTTTTAATACCGTTGCTCGCAACTTGTGAAAACTGTCATTTCTTATAGTTGACAGAATATATTAGTAGTTTTAAGCTTACGTCTAATGCACCGAGTGTAGTAGTTCCTAAGACGTCACAGGCACGGCGGGAATCCTCTAAAACTGGAGCAAACTCCTAACTATTCCGACTTACCTGTACACTTCACATCTACGAAAAATGAACATAAAATAAAATAGAAAGAACAATTTACTTACGATAAGTGATACCAACTCGAAGCTACGGGTGGATTTTAAAGATAACATACATGTGTCTTGCAGTCTTGCCAGTCAACCGTCAGAGGATCGAGTTCCTCTACGAAAGGTCGATTGCTATGTCGTGTAACAGCACCTCGTATCCCGCACAACCTGTCATCTCTCTTTACAAAGTCCAAACTTACGCTATGTAGCAGCCGAAGCTGCTAACTCTCTTCATTCCAGCTGCATTACAAACCCCCCTGCGCCGAAAAGAACCATCCTAGGTCCTTGCCCAGGCATGTTCTAACTTTCATGGCCTACGAGTGGTTGTTTACCTTTAGCTTTACCACTGACGATTCATGATCTGAGAGGGTAACCCAGAGTATTCTGCGGCGCCCTTCCTTGATGCACGGAAAAACAGAGCTTCTAAAAAACTTATGAATCGCCATGAATCAATTGAAAAAACCACACAGGTGCAGAAGAAACGCGCGAACGGAGCGAGATCAGTTTCTTTTCTTTGCTTTTTTTTTTAAATTGAATTCTAGACACTTTCTGATTTCCTGATGTAACCGTGTCCTCTATTCATATCCTTATGTATTCACCTTCGTGTAAAAATAATATGGTGTTGGCAAACTCCTGTTATCGAGCTTGGTCAACCTGTAATTTATTGGGTGGTTACTGGTTCACTGGAAGGCGGTCTCACTGTTCTGTAAGGGCAGTGTCAAAATATTTCATGCCATTTATCTTGTTTATCAAGTTTTTTACTTATCTAATATTTCCTTTTCTGGGAAAACGTTCTTTTAGCCTGAAAGTGGCTAAAAAAGTGTTCTCAGTCGGAAATAAAAACTCAAATTTGGACTACAGTAATTCATCAAGAACTGAAAAGAAGCAGAAGAACTTTGTGCTTGGATTGAGTACGTTTGAACGACTGAACAAAAACGCTTGAAAAATTTTAGGATTGAGAAAAACAACAGCAGAGATCTTATGGTGATACGTACTCTCTCGGGTTTGGAATAAAGTTTTGAAGATCAAATTTCCGGGAAAATCTAACAGTGTAGCTGTTTTCCTTTATACGTACGCTCTGCGGACCGTTTTAGGCTCGTGCCCAGGTCTCGTGTTTGGCTAGCAACGGAATGACGTCTTTGAAATGACGTCAAAGAAATATTTGAAGCCTTTGAAAGGTACCAGAAACAGAGAGAGAAAACTAATTTGACCTCAAAGCCTTCGACGCTCACAGATTCGCGTTAAAATTAGTGAAGGTGTTAATCAGTTACCCTTGATAATTTCCCAAGGTAAGCCTTACAATATTGTGGCGTGTTTAAGGCTATTTTTTATATTCAAGCTTAGGAACAATATAAGACTTCCGAATATCGAAGATGTTTCGCCTGACAGACTTCGGATTGATGAAAGATGGCATGGAAATATATGTTATTTGCCGGCTGGGAGGTCCGTATGGTGAAAAACTGTGACCGAGGTCTTGAGGTCTCACTTGTAGCTTATTATATAAGTTGGTCAGGCAATGAAAGGATGTGGTAGCTGGGTGATACATTCACATCTCAGTCCAGGGCTTCAAGCTGCTACCAATATGGTCTCCAGCCTGAGAAGAAAACAATAGTCTTATTCAGAATTTAATGCTGATTTTCTTGGTATTTTCTCAGGGTGGCTTTTTTGTTTCTCTGTAGTTTTCAGGCTCAATAAAGTTGTTTGGTTACTTCTGATTTAACATGGAACCTAACACACCCAATGACAATGGTATGGTTTAGTTATATGGACTATTTTTGTCTGTGGTTCAATCTGTGTATCTTTTGAGTGTTTTTTGCTTAGTCTGCAACATGAAGAGGGTACAGTTATTACATTGTTGTCTATTTAGATGAATGCGGATTTCAAGTTCTCAGGCTAACATTATGATAACGACTTCTAAAATAAATGGTTCCTCTACATGTAGAGGTACATGTAATTCACTGGATACTATTCATTCCAGATTCTCCACACAATTTTTATTCCTTGGTGAGAATAGATAAAGGGAAGGTGTCTTGAGCAAGAGAACTTTATGTCATCAGCCATACCTTAAACAGAGAACCTGAAAAATTTTCTTGCCCTCTCAGCATGGCATTTTCTTTGTGACTAAATATTAATTTGATATGGTTTATACTCAGGTTTGGCACCACCTCCCTATGCACCACCCCCGTACTCAGGAGATGCATCAGCTCAACCCCAGTACCCTCCCCCTGGCCAGGGGTATGGTTGGCAACAGCCACCACCACCCACAGCATACCCAGGCCCTCCACAGCCGTATGCAGGTGTCCCACCTGAAAAAACAGGACACCAAACACAGCCCCCTAGCTACCATGCACAGCTTCCACCTGGACAGCCTGGTTATCCTGGACAGCCTGGTTATCCTGCGCAGCCTGGTTACTACCCAAGTTATCAACAAGGTTATGTTCCTCCTATAACAACTCAACAAACAAACTCTGTCACTGTTGTGGTAAGTCAGGATTATTGTCTGAATAAACTTTCTTCCTGCAATTCTGTGCTGTCTGAAAAATGATCAAAAACACTGTCAAATTCACTTAGCTTCACAAGTATTGCTTTATTCATTATTTTTTTCAGCAAGGGGGCGTTGGACCCAGTGTTATTTTGGCACCACAGCTAGCACCCCCTGATTACTGTTTCTTGGCCTGGTTTGCATGTCTCTTCTGTTTTTGCCCAACTGGAATTTGTGCCATATTGAAATCCAATGAGGTAAGCTGTCACATGGTCTCTTGAGTCCGGTCCACATCTGTTATGCCATGACAAAAATTGCCTGATATTTTTAAATATCATGCAACTAAAATTAAAATTGAAATTAAAAATAAAATTCATGAAATGTCTTTCTTGATATTTATTCATAAGAAATCAGCTTACTTCATTATGTAACACGAGAGTGCAACTATTTGTTTTCTTTTCATCTTTGGGCAGACACGTGATGCCATTATTCGAGGAGACTTTGCTACAGCCAATATGTTGAGCATGGAGGCCAGGAAGTTGGCAAACTTGTCAATTGGCATAGGAATAACTCTCTTTGTTGTGGGCATGATTGTTCGCTTTGTAGCCTTCACTGCTACTTCGTAAACATGAGGACATGACATCTTTTATATCTTATCCAAAGAGAAGTTAACTTTGGTTGTATGGAGAATTTTTTAGACCCTAGGTGCCAAAAAAAAATTAGGTTTGAAAGAATTTAGAAACAACTAATTCTAGACCCTCACGTCATGATTAGGTTGTAAATCAATAATCACTTTAAACATTCAAATTGTTAGCTTTTTAAAGTGTACTTGGTGTTTTTCACAAATCTATTTTTGTCAACTTTAGGTTGATAATGGAGGTAGTCTGCCAGCTTTTTTATTATGGTAGAGTAAACATATTGATTATTATGTATTTGCTGATTGATTCCATCATTGTGCAGGCACTCACTTATAGCTCATTATATAAGTTGGTCAGGCAATGAAAGGATGTGGTAGCTGGGTGATACATTCATATCTCAGCCCAAGGCTTCAAGCTGCTACCAATATGGTCTCCAGGCTGAGAAAACAATTCGATGGCTAAATTTGCAACAAAATTGCCAATTTGGTGACTTATGTTTGGCATCCATGTAACTTATGGTCTTTAGTTAGAGATAAACATTTACACAGAAAACTGAGTAATCCTGTTTTTTTTTTTTTTTTTTCTTCATTTCTTCTTTCTGCCTTTGAAAATTTCTTTTTCTGGTGAAAACATTATGATTTCTGGTCACCAATTGGTTAATTTGAGAGTAGTGAAGCATGGAGCCCTGCACCACCACTGAAGGTTGTCACCATAAAGTAATGTAATTACTTAAAATACGCCAGCTGCTCTGTCTTTTTCGTAAGGGATGAAGGATTTAGATATTGGTACTTTGAGTAACTCTCTTTGTTGTCATGATTTACTGCTGGTAATAGGGAGGTGGTCTCTCTAAGTGGCCATGCCAGGCAAGGATGATTTTTGAGAATTTTAAATGATTGCCTGATTTTTAATCAATGCCTTAAGGTTTGGAGCCAAGAATTCTGTTAAGTTTAGAAGGGAAAACACTAACAAACAAAGTTACTTTCACTTGCTTGCTGCTATGTTGAATGAAAAGTTATAAGCTATCATACATAAGCTGTCATACAGTAATAGTGAACAAGTGAAGATCAAAGGTCTTTTGTATGCTGATTCTCCCAAAGCTATTTAGTCCTAGTGCTGAACAATCAACTTAAGCAATTTTTTTAAATTTGTTTTTGAATTGAAATAATGCAGTTGGAGTATTATTATCATATGAATGTTATTTAGAGTATATTGTCCTTTAGAGGCAACAATAGTTCACAGATTCTTTAGCTATTAAATATACTTTCTCCAGAAAAAAGATAGAGTGTTTGAGTAAATTTAAAAAAACCAAACTTCTCAAGGCTGTTACTGAGAGAAGTTGACTATAATTAGGTAGAAAACCAGGAGTACATTTACAACTCAATGTACTATGCATCACGATGGATTGTTACAAAACCAACTTAAACCAAAGTGATCATATCAGCCAATCAAAACAAAGGGAAAAATATAAAGAGTCAATAGAAACTGGAAGAAAATTCACATTTAAAATCTGCTTGAAGTACGAGAAAAAGCCATAAGCCATAGATGGCCCAAGTTGCAGAAAAGTGCTAATTCTTGAAATTATTTAAATAGCCAAATCTTTAGATTTGGATTTTCGCATGGAGATTAATATCTCTATTTAATTCTTCCCTTGCAAAAATTCTCAATGTGTTGCTAACTGAATCCACGCCATGCTTCAAATTGCCAGCGACAACACCAAACATTCTTCTTAACCCTCAAGTTCAAAAGATTCAGTTGGCTATTAACTGCGATAATTTTTCTTGTAAGTTAGTGAGAGAATTCAGTATCATATCAGAATCCCACCTTCAGCCTGATTCCCAACCCCTGCTAGCTAGGGAATGTATTGACATCTGCATGGTGAACTTGCTTGCTTATTACTTTTGGGGTTTTTGTTATCAATTATCATGATTAACTGAAATTTCTCAAAGATTATTCAAGATGGATACCAGAACAATATACCTTTGATAAATTTATTTATACAAGTTACAATGATCCAGGCTCTAATTCTTGAAGAAAAAAAAAAACCTGCAAGTTCTATACACAAAGTCAAGTTCACAGAGGCACAAATAACACTAAAAGTAGAGTACAAGCTAGGCCTGGTTAAATTGAACAGTTTCATTTCAAGATTCAATGAAAAGTTTTTTAATAAAGCGCCCTCCATCTATTTCAAGCCCTACAAAACTGATGAACAAGTTTGCAAATCCTTCCATGGCTTAGATGTTTTATTTTGAGTTCTTTTTTTCTTAGTTAGCAATAAGTTTAGAGGGTGAATCTATGTCTGAGTAACATGCAGGTTTTTTCATGTATTTCTCATGGTTGCCATAGTTTTAATTGTCCGTCTTCACTGTAGGTGGAGATCAGATTGTTGTGAGGGTGATGTTCAACACCTATCACATCCTTGTCATGAACCTGAAAGAGAGAAAAGAAAAAATTTGATGTCCAATGTAGGAGTTGTCCAAACCTCACATCAGTTGGCAAATTCTTCCGTTCAGCATCAAGGTGATTCAAGTTACCTTTTTATGCAACAGATACAACTGCCTCCAATGCAATAGAAACACAAAATATCAGTTTGGTAACAGATAAAAAGCCAAATGGAAATATAAAACAAAACAAAAAAAAATAAATGTGAATGGTTTAAGATGACGAAGATTAACAAAGATTCCAAATGAACAGATTTTTCTGTGTAGGCTATTTTTGAGAAATCTATAAAGATAGAGGTTTAAATTGGGTGCCTCTTTTAATGAATGGGGATTATTTATAACTGTGCAGAATACCAACCCAAAGAAAACAGCCTTTTCAACAATGGGGTTTGAATATTCTCAAACATTGCCAATTTCAAGGGCATGAAAAATGAACAATTACAATTCTTTGTTTTCTTCATGCAAAAAAAATAAGGCAAAAACCTACCACTCAATAAAATGACACCACATACCTGTAAAGACTGCTCTAGTTTTCCTGTAGAGGCACTAAAACAGTACATGACCATATCCTCCCCTACACAGTATATCCATTCTCCCCTGGGGGAGAGGGTGCAACACACAAAGTCACCACCATCTCTTTTACCACTGGTGAAACTACGCACGATCTGGAGGAAAACAAAAATTTCAGTACCATCAGGAAATGGAAAATTGTATTTATCTTAGATTTAATGAAGTTGAATTCTCACAGACTAAAGTGTGGCTAACTTAGTAGTTCAGCTACTAACAGTTCCCAATCAGCCTAGAAGAACAGGAAATTTCTTGATTAAGAGACAAAAAAAAAGATCATAATTTTTCATGAGCATGGGACAAAACAAAATCTGAGTACTCATATAGAATCAAACCCTCGCCTTTGAACAGGTCCCAATCATTTGTGTTTCAGCATGAACATTCCTTCACACACATGAAAGTATGAGGCCTTAGGCAACAAGAGCCAGCAAGAGGTCACATTGCCAGACCCTTGAGCAATATGAGCCAGCGAGAGGTCTGAGACAGGTTTAGGACTGATTCATTGTTAGTGCCAGACCCCTGGCAAACCTCTCCCCTACTCATCTCAAATCTTTCCATGGATGGAGAAACTTGTGTTCCGTAGCAATGATGATGAGAACCTGCTTGCATGCTGATCACAACTTGGACCTTCAAGGTCTAATGCTATCCCCAGCAGAGTGGTAAGCAACTCCATCATGAACTAACCCATATGAAAGATACATCTGCAACAAGGGTCCTATATATTGCTTGAATCATCAGCAATAGGATCGAAATCTAATCAAAAGTGTTAAGTGTGTAGTAGATTTAACATTTTAGATTGGTTGTCAGACAAACATGTGTCATGAATCCTACCTGTCCTTGCATGTTCATAACCAGTACAGTGCTTGTTCTGTTGCACACCACAAACTGTTCAGGATTTCTTGGCATCACATGCACAGAGTTTACTGTAATATCAGTGGCAACACTCCCTACTGATGGCTTGAACGTGTGAAGACACTCGGTTGTTTTAATATTCCAAAGCTGAACAAAAGAATAAAATGGAACAACTATAAAATCAAGCATTATAGAGTGCTAACGTGAGTGCAATGAAAAATGAACAATTACATCTTAAACACCCTTTAACTTCATATTTGATTGTTTAAGGTACAAAGATGAGTTTCACTTCTGTGCCTACTCTGCAAACAGACAATTTCTCATGCATAAAAAAAAATTATCTGTTTCTATTTCCATGGAGTCTGTTGACTGCATTCTAAAATCCCTTTGTTCATAGAGAGAGCTTTAATGTTGATTCATGATTACACTTGGGTACCTTAACAGTTCCATCGCTACTGGCACTGATGATGTTGTGGGCATCTGTTGTAAAAATAGCGTCATTTACAAACGATGTGTGTCCACGGAATTCCTTTAAGGTCTTGCCAGATTTTAACCCATGCATTCTGCAAAGAGGTTACATAGCAAAAATGAGTCAAGGTTAGGAAAATGATAATAGTAGAGCTAGTATTAAAACTGCACCTATTTTAATCCATTACACATAAAGGTCTGATTACTTAGGAAAGTACAGAAAAAATTTAAAACAGTTCTAATAAAATGTCCACCGCATTAAATGCTCTCTTTTAAGGACATCTGCAAACTCTCGGATTTTATCTAACATGTCTTGTTTTCAGCACACTCTTCACCAGGAAGGCTGCATATACAACAGGTACATTGTATATCGAAATTGAAATAGTTCCATGTAAGTGTATGCCTATATGTATATAGTGTGTCCATAAAGGAAAGTACTAGGGCATGTTCCCCACATACCGCATTTCAAATGAGTGTCCCAAAGCCAAAGTAATCACGGGCAACAATCAGAACAAAGATCAATACAGGGGTCAATGAGAACACAAACTCATTACAAGTAATGATCATTAAGTGTAGGAAAATGTGAAAGACCAAGCTACGATTGGTTTAAATTTTACAATTGATTGGTGGAGAGGGTAACACAAGAGTTTCCAATACCAATCACTGAGCATAACCAAGCAACATTACCAGAAGTTTAGTTTACCTCAAACTGTCTCATGGAAAAAGCATCTTGCGTTTGTATACGTACCTTATTGTCATATCAAAAGAACCACTCAGCAGCTGACTCGCATCACGAGAAAATGTTACACAAGTGACTCCTTTAGCATGAGCCTTCTCAAAACGTCGCAGGCACTGACCAGTTTGTAACTTCCACACCTGGAAATACAATCTGAAAATTAATTACACCGACAGAGGTAAAAGAAATGATTTAGGAAGGAAGAGAAAAATACTACAGGACAAAGAAACAGAGTAAAACAAGAAAGGAGAACAATCAGATGTAAAGAACAAAACCTGAGAGCAGAAAGGAAACAACCTTAAGATAAATGGAACCTCCCCATCAACAACTGGGTTCACTTAACCCTTTACACCCTAACATAATTGTGCATATTCTTCATACTGTTCTCTGTACATTTACTAAGGTGCTGTCAAAGAGAATTTGTCCAAAAATTAAGAGATTCTTAAGCTGGTGATCATTTCCTATATTCTCATGACATTAATGTGTGATTCAGTGGTGATATTGTAAGGAGAAATTAGATGCTGGTCACTTTTAGGGGTTAAAGGGTTAAGCAAACTTCTTGCAAACTCCACCTCCTTTCAAATGCATTGCTAATCATCCTTTATTAACCAACTCTAACTCCCTTTTATCTTCAAATATTTCTCATTTCAAGTCATCAAGATTCTATTGTAAAATTTAGGACACCTAAACCTCCATCCCCCCTCATTACAAATCACATTCAAAACCACAATCTAACAAAAACAAAGTAAAATCATACTTTAAGCTTTCCATCTTGCCCTCCAGATGCTAACATTTCACTATCTCGACTGAAGGATAAACACAAAACAGAGTCGTCCATCATCATGAAGTTATCTTGAGCTTGGTACTTGAGATCCTTTCTGATCTTTCCTGTTGTAAAGTTCCACACCTCAATAAAACCATCCACACTCCCAGTCACCAAGTACTGCCCATCAGGAGAAAACTTGACACACTCAGGGTGTGATTTGGCCCCAAACTGAGGGGAAAAGAAGCACACTTATACTCATTAAAAATATGGTGCAACTTTCTTGTTCAGCTCATAACTCAACACAATATATTAAGCTTGTTTGGCTATTGTACTCACAACCAAAGGTTTAAATGTGAACAGAAAACATAAAAGTATTCATTGCATACCTTGATGGTTCTGTTCATTTGAGTGGGATATTTTTCCTCCTCTTCATCTTTCACAGCAGCTTTTCCACGAAAAACATCAATAGTAGTTCCTGGTGGAAGAAGACCTTGATACTGCTGCCATTTAAGTGCTTGACTAAGCAGTGCCAACAAACGAGATGGTGGTACAACTGACACCTCACCTGACAAGGCTGGAAAATGGTGAAATGGTAATTCTCAACACAGCACAGAATTCCAAACCAAAACAATGCTGAACGCAATTTATTCACATTTTCTGTGGCAAAGAGCTAAACCCTAAAACATCAGATTTAGAAACTCAATACCATGGCTGATTATTTTAATCAACTCAGCTGATAAAACTAAATTTTAAAAAATTGTGTATGTAAAAAAAGCCTTCCATGAAATTTTTGCTCTTTACAGGAGGCAACTTAGTAAAGAAAAACTATGGTTCCCATCAAAACAAAGACAATTAATACTTAGTTTAAAGACATAAATACCTTGTGCTATTGCAGCTCTCCTTCGCTCTTTACTACCACCTTCTGGGTATGCCTAAAAAGTGAATTGGAAAATAGTTGAAAATAACATTTGCAGCATTGTGCCATCTTCACTTGGAGGGAGGCAAAGGGAACTGCCAAAAAAACTGAGAGCCATGGTGGAGACCCTGTGCTCCCCAGAAAGAGCAAGAATGGCCCAATCTAATCTTATCTGACTATTTCACCACTTTGAAGGTTTATTTGGATCCAAAATTATGACCAGCTCCCAGTTAGCTTGTTAGCTCAGTTGGTAGAGCACTGCGCTGGTATTGCAGAGGTCATGGGTTCAAATCCTGTATGGGCCTGAATTTTTTTCAGGCCTTATTTCAACTACTAGTTCAGTAGTGTTCATAACTGCAAGGATCATTTCTATATTTGTCCAATCTTATCTATTCTGCCATCAAAAGGCTCCCACGTTCACACTCACTAACTAATAAATGGTTCATGAAATTTCATATCTGTTCCTTTTTTTAAACTATCAATGGCTTACCTCTCTAGGATCAAAATAAGAACGAGCCAACATGTTTTCGAGATGAAGATATCGATCAGGCTGTTGTTGCTTCAACATGATCATGGGATCTGTTTGGCGCAGCAATGACCTTGCAGCTCCCAGTTCACGCAACTCAATGAGCTCCAAAACAATCTACATCACAATTATAACACAATTTCAAATGTTAAGGACACTACAAACAAAGAGAAAGAGGAGAAATGTGCTGCCATGATGACAAACAGCTTTTAGATTCTGCTTCAATAAATGTGAGCAATGTAGAAAGGTCTCCCCTACCTGTTCATACAAGTCAATAAGTTTCTTGTCAGGTAGCTTGAGTGGCTGAATTGCCTGAAGGACTGTATCCCAGTGGCCATTGTTTATTTCCCCTACAAAACTCTCTACACTGTCAACAGTATTCAAGGTAATTCCAGTTTCTTCCTGCAGGAAACATAACAAACTAAGTGTTCCATACTGCTAACAACACAACAATGGAAACCACAGGGATTCCAATTCTTACATTTACGTATGGGAAGCAAGCACCTCCTGACGCACACAGAAGGAAATTCTCTAATATCTTCTTTAAGTTGCTTTTCTTACAGCAGTTATTATTACTCTTAATGTACCTGCAAAGTTGCCAGGGTTCTTGGTAAACTGTTTTCTTTAAGAAATTGTTGGATCAGTCGGATCACACTGAAATTTAAATCAAGTCATAATATTACCAAACTGTGAATTGATTAGACACTGCTAGTTAAACAAATTGACATCATCAGGTCCTTAATTCAATCTGTGCCCTGCTCTGAGAGCTTGCTGGATTTGTTTCTTAGTTTACTCAGGTTTTTATCCTTGCCTGCTCTTGTAGATGCAGTCTGATTTTCCACTGAGAGTTGTTGTTTCTTATCATGTTATATTGTACCTTTGTTTGAATCAATTGTCCATGGTTACTAAGTAAAGTGATCAGGTGCTTGATCAAGTACATGAAATTCCTCAACTATTTTTTTCTAAAACTAATCAAAATTATAACAAAATTCTCAAACTTGATTGGTTATCACCAGCCTGATTTTATCATTGGTAGGACAGTTGATGCAATCATGCTTGCGTAAATGGACAGTACTCATCATGTGCATGCACTGTTGTTGTGTATTTTGCAGAGTTAACTGCTGTTTTTTTATGAAAACTTATAACCGATGTCTTCTTTCTTTTTAAAATTTTGTCATAGTTTTGATTAATTGGCAACTGGACTTCGTGTCGTACAATTCTGTATGTAATCATACTCATAATTAACAAAAAGGACTCCTGCTTCGCGGTCGTCCGCTTTTGTTGATCACTCGAATGATTACAGACCGAATTGAACTCCTCTCCGTCCTAGTACCATTATCGAAAAAGCTACCTGACAACAACAACAAGTACAGCCAACGCAGTAGAGCTGCTTGAATAGAGAGCATTCAAGACGATCGTTCCTAAAACAAATTTATTTTGCCGCTATTTTCCTGACTGTAGATCAAACCAAACGGTTATCGTAGTTCCCATCATGAAAGGAATATTCTATCACCCTACGCCATCAAAACAATTGCCCGCTCGTCTGCACTGACTTTCATAATCGGCGTCGCGTAATTTCTGTCCCTACACGTGGTTACTTCTTGGATGATTTTTCCAATAATTTAGCTCTCTCGAAAAACAAAGCGATAACCTTGGAAATATTATCAATTAGTAATTTGATCAGAGGTAATGGTTGGAGCATCAGTCCTTTACATGCACAAATAACAACATTAAAGTGCACTTACTCAGCAGACTCTACTTCAAGCGCCATCTTGGTATCGCGTTTCGCAAAGTGTACTGGGTATTATTACAATGTGAACCGGACTGGTGGAGGTTTGGCAAAAATGTTTTGTACTACGCAGTTCAGAATAACGTTCCTTTTTCGTTCTAAAAACAGCTTCGCAACCTCATAGTTTGGTTTGTCGAAAATCTTGAAACACACCAGAACACAGACTCGGTGAAAATGAATTAAACACAGAAGGCGTACAACCCTACCCCAGTGAGGAGCTACTTGAAAAGCTTTACTGGTCCTAGTGCCCCCCGGTAACAAAGCAACTGGCACTGGTGATCAAGATGGCGGCCGCTGCACGAGGCCGTGGTCGAGGCAGAGGTGGATTTGGAGTACCAAAGCCGGGCAAATCGGGAGAAAAATCTGAGCAGCAAGCTGATATTTCAACAGAAAAATCGTCTAATGAATTTGATTTGACAAAGGTGCTGAACGATCTAGGGGAAAACACTTTGGACACACAAGTTAAGGAAATTTCTCACCACATTTCACAATCTAGTTCATCGACGAAACTCAAGGACGTCGTTGATCATTTAATTCAGCGGACGATCAAGAAGAGCGATTTTGCACCTCTAGCTGCCAAAGTAGCCAACAAGCTTTGCTCTGATGAATCATTTGGAATTGCATTTAGAGGCGATCTGTTGAAATCTACTCAAGAACAGTACAAGAAGAGAGAAAGTATTCGTGCGAACTCCACAAGCGAATGGATCGGGCTAGCGTGTTTTATTTGCGAACTTTTTCGTCATCTTCGAACTGGTGAGGCTCCGTTAAGACCCCTAGCAGCAGCGGTACACCAGACGTTGAGTGAGCTATTATCGAGTGAAGGACAGAACGGCAATAATGATGAAGAGCTCGAAGGAGATGAAATAGACTGTTTTTATGAGAATTTTAAAGGTGTAGGATTTCTTTTGGAGACCGTTAATCAGGTAGGTAAAAGCAGGGTTGTGTTAGCTTTCTAACCGCCAAGAGTGACCCGCACTCAATTTCTCTTTACTTTATCACAGCTGAATCAAACATTTAGGAAGGGGGCATTGGGGCCTATTAGAAGCCGCAAAACTGTAGAAAAAAAATCATCCAAAACCGAAAAACCGAAAAAAAAATTCGATCAAAACGGAAAACCACATGCAAAAATGTAAAAACTGTTACATTTTCAATCCCAGTTATTAAAACCGTGGTTGATCTGATTTAGACTGGTGACAAGTGGAGCATACAGTGTAAACTACACTAATTTCATTACAGGATTTATGAATGCCATGGACTTGGCATTCGTATCTTCTACTATCCGCTTAAATTAACAGCTGCTCTCTTCAGGACCTTGAGCATGGTCTCTGCAGACTCAGCAGCTGGTAATGGAGCCTAGTTAAATTAAGGAAATTCACACTAAAGACCTTCATAGGGTTGCAATTTTGCAGTCGCAGAAAGCTATAGCTCTGGAAAGTTTTATCAAAAATCCCTAATCTAACATTTCCATTTATGAACTAAGACCTGAAAGTTTGGAGATGTAATTGGAATGTTGAATCAATTGGTCACATGTGGCCTGTAACTTGGTCACCAACTCCAAGGTGGCATTGATAAAGAAACCCTGACAATGTTCTGTGCTTAGCTGTACCCTCCGTGTAGTTGCTCTTCCCCCCACCTTGGGGGGGAAGGGTATGGCTACACAGACGCTACTTAGGGATCCCTGCAATATTTCAATTGGTTTGTCATGCAATCGTCTTGTTAACATTTGCAATTAGCTGCTGTTTGAGATCAGTGGAGGTGTGTAATTGCCACTCAGATCGAAGAGAAACTGGAACCCAAATAGGTCAAATAGGAAACACCAAAAACCACATTGGATATCAAATCCAAAAACCCATTAATATTTTTAGCAAAAACCAAAAACCAATCGCTGAGAAACAGAAAATCAGAAAATAAGAATTTTAATTAGGACTTACTGCTGCCTAAGATAATTCAAATTGGAAGCTTCTTCCTCCTTGTCATGGTAGATAAAGATATTTTGAAAAGATGAACCTCTATATGCAAGTGAATCTTTCATGTATCTATCTTCAAACCTTGGTCTAAGGAGACAGTCCTATTTTCTATCAGTGGTAGTCATGTACATTAATTTGGCTAACTTTGTGTAACTACATTTTGCTGATTCTTCTGGACAGGAGAAAGCAGAGGAACTCTTGGGAATGATGAGAGACACTATACTCTCTGATAACTCATCTGCCAAAACAAGATGTCTGTTACTGGAAATGCTTGAGTTCCATGCAAGACAAGGGAAAATTTCTTCAAAAGTTGAGGACTATTTTAGTGATAAACTAGCTGAAATAATGGCCAATGAATTATAGTATTATTTGAAACTTCAGAAATCTGGCATAGCATAAATACCTTTTGTTTTGGAATACACAAATATGAAAACACAAGAAATAAAGATCTTTCACCTTGGGAAATTGCATTTCTTTAGGAAGTACAGAGTATTTATGTTAAATTTTTTATCTTGGTTAATACAATGTGTGTAGTTTCTTAGGAAATAACATATGATCATTTGTTCACAAGTGTTTCAAAATCTTAACAGACACTTTACTGCACATGTGAACCACTTTGTATCACTGCATATGGTAATATATGATTTTGTGACCAAAACACAGGTTGGGTGGCTCAAGTTATAACCTTCGTAAGGCCACTTGTGTTCTCTGGAAATATATTTCAGTCACAGTGCCTCTCTCCACCCAAGAACATGGGGGGGGGCATCTGTATGCAATGGACTAGTATTCTATAGATGGGGAGTACAGTTCGGGACTCATCTGGCCTAGCCCAAGCTTTTATTGGGAAAGAACAATTATAGATTACTGTTTAAGGGCCTTACAGAGAAGCGCAAATAGTTCCTCTCCACCCAGCATATGACCTATTGAAATCAATAAAGTAAGAAGAAAGAGAGAGGGCTAAAGTTTATTATATGATAAAATGCTTAATGGTGGAGTAAGGTCGAATCGGAAGGGAAAACATTTGGCTTGGGGCCATATCGTATGGACCTCCAGCTAACAATTCTCCTATCCAGTCCTCCCTTTAAGTCACTTAACACGCGGTATTTTAGGTTATTGAGTTGAAATTCTTTACTTTCATCAACTGCATGTGCAAAGAAACTAAAGAAAGAGAAGACTTTCGCGTAGGAGACCTTTAATTTACATCTTCCATGTTCTCTTCGTGTGACTTTGTTGAGGTATTCGTTTGAACGGTTCGATTCTGCAAAATCTAAAAATAAAAGAAAAATAGTTGCTTTTATTTCTGTTAAGCGATAGGTGATATACATAGCAAAATAGTCTTAAAAGAAAGAATGCTGGCCATAAAAAAGGAAAGGTTAGAGATTTTGCTTCCATTTTCAAAATTTTGGGAGGATCTTTCATACTGTAGTTTCGGATACTATCCGTTGCTACGGCATGGTCGCACCTTCGCCCAAAACAAAAAACAAAACAAAAACAAAACAAAAAAAAATATTTATTTTAGCAATTAAAATACATATCTAACAGTCCCTACCCGTAAAATACCGAAGCCAATCGAGGCGGGAGGGAAACAAAACTTTAAAAAAAAAACCTTCAGATAAAATTACTAGTTGACACACACAAAAAAAGAACCTAAAGACACTTAAATAATATTGCTACCGTATTTTCAAATACTGAATATGAAGTCCTCTTTTTTACTTAATCCGAAATTAATTTATTTCCAATCAGTTGTGTGTGACTGTTCTTCTTATACTGTCCTACAAACAACACCAAGCCCAGAAATGTAGAACGTTCACCGAAGAATAACACGGCGACTCAGTTGTGCAAAATTACTCAAGAAATTAAGAACACGATCCAATCTTTTCAGTGCCGAAGTGATAAACTAAAGACCGATTCTCTTCAGTCAATCTGCCGTGTTGCTATGGAAACCTTGAGAACGTGTCATGTAAGACGTGATTACATTATGCAACGATAATTACAACTTCATCAGAAACATACTTTGCATTTGCGATAAGAAAATTAGTGCAAATAAAAGCAAAAGGAAATGGCCTTTGTGCCCTTGGGCGAATATGAAGTGGACGCTTTCATTAGGCCCGATGTCCAAGTCTTGCGTGATTGACTCTGACTCTGGCAGATATATTTCCTGAAAGATTAAGTTTACCTCAAACAAGAATTTGAATGGCGTTTCAAGAAAACAGAGCGAACCAAGTCGTGTGCACAGGGATCTCCCAGATTGTTCTGGGATTTTGTGTCTTCGCCTTGAGTTTTGTTCTGAGCAACAGGAGCGATGACCTTGGGAAGATTTTTGAAACCGGTGTTACTTATTGGGGAGCTGTTCCCGTAAGTATCGTAGAGACGCAAGCAGCTTTAGAAGAAGAGCTTGAACATAGATTTCCCCCTATCTATTGTAAAAAGTTTTTTTTCAAGCCAGATAAATTTCGCTTAGAAGCAAGAAGAAATCACATGAAGTAACACAAAGTTCATTTCTATGCCTGGATTTTCTCACAAAATGAGCAACGACTTTTTAGTTAATATATAGAAACGTTTAAACTAGATCTATTCTTGTTAACAACAACAGCTGCACAGTAATATTTACACTGGAGAAAAAATATTTCTCATTCGAACAACAAACACGAATTTTACTTTACTTTAATTTTCCATTAATACTCTGTAAAGCTAAAATTTTTCTCCTGATAACTTCTACAAAGAAATTCAGTGTTAGTTTGCTACTTTTGGAAAAGCTTTTCAGAGCCGAAGGAAAACTAACGCTCACATCAATTCATCTTTTCATTTGGGATCATCACACCTCTGTTTGCTTAGCAGCATTTTGAGTCAAATTTTTACCTCGTAAATTTGATTCTCACTCGAAAAACAGAAAAATTGATTAGTTCTTGATAGACTGGTGTTTTAATTTAGTCAGAAACGCATAGTATTACACTGAAAATCTTACTGAATCGTCGATAAATTTTCGTCAGTGTAACTCTTTCAAATTACGTCCATTAATTTTTAAACATCTCATCAGAATTAAATGTCATCTTTTTCCAACCCACAAAAGGTTATTTTAATGCTCCACAGCCTAATTATGTAGCTCGTGCTTTTTTAATCAATCGATCTCTTTAAAAAGAAAAATTATCATTCAAAAATCATACCATAAGCTTCCTGCATTCACCTACAGTGATTGAACGAAATTTCTACTGTTGATTTTGTCAAAACGTGCAATTCCTGAATGTCAGTATAAATCGTGAGTTTCTTTTAATTACATAGATCATTTACATTTTTGATAGAAATTTTTGCAACTTCGACTTGGTTCATTTATTGACAACTTGTTAACAGTTTTCACCGTCAAATTTAAATTGTCCTGTATTTTGCCGTGCAAGTGGACCGCTGTTAGCTTAAAATCCATCAGAGATAGTGTTAACTTTCCTGATAAAATTTAAACGAGAAAAGAAAGTAAAACTCTGCGGGTTGTTCACAAAGAAATATTTTCTTTTTGGCAAAAATATCGGATTGAAAGCACGACGTGAAAGATCGAAAAGACAAATACAGCTTTGAGAAAACACATTAGCGTGTGTGAGTGGATAATGGATCGACTACTGAATAAATTACTGTTTCTTACTTTTGTTTCCTAGTTATTAATCAATCAATCAATCATTTTCGCGCTGAGAAGGGAAAGTCGACCGACTCCCTTAATTTTCATAGACTGTATGAAAATAGAAAGGTAATCAGTCGGTGATGTCCATGACAAATTGCTTTGCTGATTGGGCCTTTTGGTCTCTTACAAATCTTGTGCTGCACAACGAAAGATCATGAAAAAAATAATAATAATAATCGCAGGTTTGCCATAAAATCCCTTTTCGTTACCAAGAAAACGGCCAAACGGGTCGATGGGACGTGCAATACTGTGTACTGAACAGTTCGAATAATTTCAGATCGTCGTCGCTGGAAGTTTTGGAATATTCGGGGGAATAAGTGGCAAATTCATTGCGGTAAGTTTTTGACGTTTTTCTACGTTTTAACGCTTGATTGAGGCTTTCTCGTGATAACCGTGTCTACGAAAGTTTCTTCACACAACTCGATACTATTTCTATTGTATATTTACAATCAACCAGTTATATTCGTCAAAATTCACTCACTGAGAACGTATTTCTTGACATTTCTGTTATCAGACAGGTGTTTTTTTCGCTGCTAGTGTCATTTCGTGTATCCTCGGAGCAATCGTTGCCGCGTGCGTGGGAATCACGCTGACTGCGCGGAGATCAGCGGGTGAATGTGAGCACGGTGAGCTTTATCCGCATGATAATGCCTTGAGACTCTTAGGTTGTTTCTCGAGACGTGAAAGAAACCTAAAAATATTCCTTTGGTTCAATAGAAAAACACTGAGGAGGATACTGATGATAAACCTAAATTAAAAGGGAATAAAATCCAGATAGGAAGCCAGATCGTTGCGGACTTGAAAATGACTTTCCACCAGGATTCTGCGCCCCACTCTCTCGATCCGCTAAACAGAAATACAACTTGTAAATAAGTTTTAGAATTTGTGGCAGTCTAATCACACGATCACCTTGGCTCTTAACACTTGAAAACTCATTTACTGACAACCCTTATAATGGATGAATTTGTTTCTCATACGAACAGTACAATGCCCGTATGACACAGAATCAATTCTGATGATCGCCTTAATAAGCATCTTGATTCTCGAGTCTGCCATTTCCCTGTCAGGCGTGATAGAATCATCTCAGCTACTTTGCTGTGCTATTTCGGTAAGTTGCAGAATTGAGAGATTTTCTTTTGCCTTAGATAATTTAGCTCTTTAAACAAGCGGTAAAAATGGCAGACAACATTGCCAAGTTGAAGGTGAAACGCATATCATGGTTATAATGTTAATTGTAAATACCGTGGTGCATTGCACTGTGGGACAAAAGGAACCTTGCAATGAACTCCGTTTATTTCGCTGGTTGCACCTGGATGAGATGGAAAATAGCTCCGGCCAAACGAACTCAGTTTTATCTGTTAGGTCCTTGGTGTAAAATTTAGAGGACTGAACGATTAACCATGTCTTACCACTCGAAAAGCTTATGGCAGGTTTTATCGAAGATGTCTGCATGATATATCGCACGCTTATTTTAACACCATGACATTACCTCTGCTACAGAGTGGCGATCAACTGGCCATTGTGTCACTAGGAACTCCGGAGCACGTGGACAGAAAATCCAGACTCAGTCGTAAACGACAGTCAAGTAACCAAAGCGTTTATTCTATAGACTTCGATGCGATGGTAGGGAGCTCAAGCATGTCACCAGTGAAAGACAACGGCTTTGGAAATGGAAAACAATTAGGAACTGTAGTGTGATGCTTTAGAAGCTTGTTGTCTCAGCAAATTTAAAAACTCTTCATACCTCAGCACCTCATCCGCATATTAATTAAGTTTTACTCTAGATTATAGAGCAGAATGTACCAACACGTTGACAGGATCCGACCCAGTATGGGGCCCTTCACCAGCCGGGTTGGAATCAAAGGATACCTTCGCCTCTTAATAAGCACCTTGGAGGTACTTTGCTGATTTGAAAACTGACGAAAAGGCAAGGGAGAGTTCATTCAAGAAATAAGGAAGGTGCTTTTTAAGGTTTCCCCGGATCTTGGCTAGATGTTATCATTTTGAGAGTTGTAGGACAGCATTCGCGCATAAAGACAACATGAAGCTCATCCTAAAGTTTTAACAGCGGCACTTTTCAGCTGCTCTTTTTATTCGTGATCAGTTTCCCCAAACTTAACCCGTTGACAGACTGAAAGAAGGCTTTAAGTGTGACATATGTGTGCAAGATTGGACGAACGTGGCTGAATAAACACAATCAAAACACATGTCCTATAATGTCTTATTGCGTCCATGAAAACGAGCAGAAAGAGGGGCGCCTATTCAAGACGTCAGAGGGGGGAATTCAGATTTTGATCAAAACGGGATTCGAAGATTTAGGGATTATCAAGCTATTCGTGCGAAAACTCAATGATAGTTTTTCTAAATCCGTTGGAATTAGCAAGTACATCTAAGACTCCCCTTAGCTACACCTTAGTTTATCTAGCTAATTACACATTTTTTTTTAATTACAAAGATCCCCAAAAACACCTCTGTGGAAAATCATTAAGATTTTTCAGTTGAAAGAGCGTAATTTCGTAATCATACGTCCCACTGATTTCTTACGCTTTTGGGGGGAAATCCCGAGCATTTTACATTTAGCTGAAAGGATCAAGGATCTGTACCTGTCTATTTATTCTTCTCCGTCCTTGCGCACAGACATTGGCACCGTTCATTTTTTTGGCTAATCAATACTCAAAATAATTCCGCCTCTCACATCTACAACTACATAAGAGAAAAGTAACCAATTTGTGGTTTCCTAGGTATCTAAATTGTAGACGTGTTTGGGTTTTCCGAGCGTGAGAACTCTTCCTACGCTTCCTGTTTTTTTAAAACAATGCGTGAAAACAAACTGGCTATGTGATCAACCAAAAAAGTACACAGCTGATGTTATTCGAATGGTAAGACCACAAAATTGAACTGGAAACCCAAACAGGAACACTCGTGTGGATGAGGTCCAAGGTCAGTGTCAATTTCGAAGACATGCTCACTAAAAAAAATGGCACTCCGACTCTAAGTCAAAACAGTTAAAATCAAGGAACTCCTTATAAGGGTTTAACTTTGAATAGCCTTGGACTTAATTCATGAGATGAAAAATGAGAGACCTTAAACCTTAACTTATAAAAACTCATTACAACAATACTTAACGTAGGCTGCTAATTTATGAACGAATAGTTTGCCATTGTCTATTTAAAGCTTTGAATTGTGTACGTCCTTTTAACGACGACATCAGAAATTTATTCGCATAAACATTTACAGGAATGGTTGCATAAGCAATAAAATGGGTGTAAAAAAATTGATGATGGCAAGAATGCTTATGAATGCTGAAGAGATGAAAAAAATGGAGTATATAATCATCTTATATCGAAACGTGCTAAAAGTCTTTCTGCGCCCTGTGTTTCCTGACGAAACGTTAGCGAAGTGACTTTTATTGACCTAAGCGAGCGAGCTCATAGCCTCTACATCATGTATTCGATTTGTGCGTTGTACAAAAGTTTGGCAATTTACACACCCTTTTATGCAGACGAGCTATCTGTCGTGTTCGATATACCTTTCACTACTCTGCCACTGGCCAATGGCACGTGACTTTGTCCAAACCGTGTCGTTGGTGCTCTGGAAACTTGATTCATGTTTTGCTGCTGACATATGTGCCTACTGTACCTCATGAGGTCACGGGAAGGTCTGTGTTCGAAAGGCTGTCTGCGATTCACGTCTCTGTCTGTGAGTTGCGCATCGCCATGTTTATATTTGTTATGAGGTGGTCGGAGATTCTTGGGTTGGGATTCACCTTTGCGAGGTTCACTTGACTCTCGATTGCCATGGTCAGGTTGTTTGTAACTGGGAGGAAGTCGCGTATTGTCATGAGAGTTCTTATGGTAAAGTGCTCGGTGATTCTGCGGTCTAGGATCAGTTTCAGATGGCTGATTTTCTGCCCAATTGTTACCTAACGACTGCTTGTGGATGGGCGGAAGTCGTTTATCGCCATGTGAGTTTTTCTGGTGAAGTGGACCCAGATTCTGCGGCGGTTTAGACTGAGCACTAGGTTTAGGAATTCCTACCTGATCACCCCGGTAAGGTGGTCGCTGATTGGGCGGAAGTCGCATATCGTCATGCGGCTTCTTATGGTGAAGAAATCGGTGATTCCGCACTTTATTTTGAGACGGATTAGTTGTTACCAGATCACTACCGTACGGTTTTCTGAGATTGGGTGGAAGACGCTCATCACCACGTGAGTTTTTAAAGTTTGCTAGTCGTTGATTCTCTGGTTTAGGCTCAGTTTTACATGGATGATTTGCAGCTCTATCAAAAAATTGTTGATGCTGATGTTCTACTTGGTCTTCATTTGTTGTCTTAGTCGGAGATAGTTCGGGTTCAAAGGCTGGATTATTTGCTTCCTTTGGAATATTGGAAATAAAAAATAGAAAAACAACGTTAAAAATGTTAAAAAGAAGAAGTTAATGGTCGTGTCGTAGGGATAAATCAGCGGGTAGAGATGTATCAATCTCTAAAATTTTTTTTACCTCAGAAAAATCAAGTTAATTGAGAAGGAGACTCGATAGAGAGGAGAAAATATCAAAGCTTTTATGGTAATTAGATGTTTACCGTTACTTACCTGGACTTCATTGACGTTATACGCAGATATTTGCCTGATGACGGCATATGATAAAATTCCCAAAGGAGCCAACGTAATCGCTAGAACAGATAGTCCTGACATAGCAACAGTTGTAGCGTATCTGTGGCAGTAATCTGAAACAGGACATACGCATCATATGATTATTGTTCGTGCTTAAACGATATTCAACGATATCAGAGCTGCGTATTTAACATTCATAGACAGAGAAGGCGATAGAAGAGTTTAATAAGTAATGAGCAGCAAAGTAACGTCTAGTGCCGGAGGAGGAACAGAGACACAAAGACTCAGTTTTAACTTAGGCAAGAAAAGTTTTGCCATGTTTTTACACTTCCATGTTCCAGTCGACATCGCCGCCCTAGACTTATCACTGGTTTGCTTATCAGCCCTTCCCTTATAAGGAAACCACCTATAGCTCCTCCACCACAAGTAATATGCGGTGTCAGTCCGGTTTTTAGATTACATAAACGCAACGTACAACAAGAATGAAGTAAGCTTACAAGATCCCTGGTAGTTGGAAAGACATTTAGCCTTAAGAATATTTCTTGATTTAACCTCTCTCCCCATGAAAAGGAACATAAGATGAAGACCAAAGACTCCTGTAACCAAACAAAGACCCATGTGCAGCGAAATCTGTGGAAAGAAGGACAGTAGGGTTGCATACGTACGTATTGTCTTTGCTTCTTCCCTCTTTCATTGCAATTATGACACAAGTCAATGAAGAAAAAAAAAAAGGAAAGCGAACGCGTAAACCAGTCAAGTGATATTGGCTACATAAACATTGATAAACACGTCGGATTTAAGTCATGCAAGCGGTAATAAGGTCGGGGGAGGGGGGGGGGGGAAGGGCAGCGAGTATCGGGCTGCGGGGTTATGATTCCGGAATGGGTTCCTATTGGTCATTTTCCTCTTCGAGGACTTAAACACTAGGCCCCAGTTGTTGTAAGGTCGGATAACGCTATCCACTGCTAAGATAAATCTCTATCCGGTAGATAACGCTATACGTTTCACCATCACTTATCCGCTGAATAGCGATTTATCCGTTGGATATTGCTATCCGCCCTATATACAACTGGGCCCTTCAGATTACAGAAACGATCCGACCTGGGTTTCACTATAGGCTTGTATATTTTACACACTCAAACTCTATCTATTGAAGCATCTATCAACCAGGCTAAAATGGCTGATTCTTTTTATTTATGGGTAATTTCTTATGGAAATTTCTTGGTTGTTAAGTTGAAGGGAAATGGGTTGCCGCCATGAATTCTTAATGCAAAGGTGCAGCTCAGTTTCTGAAATCGTGACCCTAATTTCAAATCATAGCGTGCCGTATTCTGTATCAGTTTTTAGAGAGCTGGTACTTGAAATTTTAATGGATATGCAAAACCATTAAGCTTTGTAGAACTGAGAAATAAAGCCTCGCATCAGTGGCAAAGTCATGAATTCATTCAAACATTCAGCTCGAATGTTTTATGTTCGTTGCTGCTCTTTCTCTTTTAATTCATTAGTAGTTGTTTAAACTCACTCGTGGTCCCATTAAAAAATTTAATTTAAGCCGCACTATCATCGTCAAACCTACACGCGTTTTCAGACCGAAACGGCTTACAAATTGTGCTCTTTGGGCGGAGCATTCCCAAGAAGCTCATGAAGGAAAGGTCTCCACTCCCTTCGAATTCCCTGCCGGGCACTTCGGTTGGAACTGAATTACCAAGAAATTCTTTTTCGATAGAATACAAAACATGTTTACGTACCAGCCAACGTTTCCTCATTCGTCCTCCCACCATACCTGAAAGCCCTGCAGTTAACATCTAGATAAGAGAGAAAAAAAGAAAGAAAAATTACAGAATATTTTTGTCCCCATGCATCCCACACTCCACTCCTTTGATTTATCGTACTTTATTATTTTCATGTCTTTACTGCCTCTTTCAGGAAACAGGAATGTGCACATCTCGTGACGTTGTGTTTTTATTACATTTCATTTTTTCTTTCACTTGTCTTTGCAGTCTTCCATTATTCTTTATAATTCTATGGATTCCATTTCCACTCAGCAGGTGAAATTTCACTGAAAGGCTTTGGTAAAATCTCTTGAAATTTCAATCAAAAGATGGGAAATATTTCGCGTTAGTTAATTCGAATTTAATTTTTGCTCTAGTGACCTAATATCACATTCGATGAGAAACATAAGTTTTAACTCTTATGTGATCGTTTATTTGTTTCTCACGGAAGCTCTTAAATTCAGCTTGCTGATTTCTGAGTCTAAAAGAGACTTACTGGTACGATAGAACTTTCGTTGATTTCCTAAGTACTAATCTTTCCAAGAATCGATCAATTTAAAGAAAACACCTCCATGAAACGTCATTGACGTTTTAAACCTGACAATGGTTTTAATACAATTTATTCTTTATAATTACGGTGCACAAAGGATTTGACAAACACGTTTGTTATTGATTTGTTGTTGTACTTACTGGTATTGCAGCTATCATCGGAGGAAGACTAGGACTGTCCTTGTATTCTGACAGTTTCATCGCTGCACCAAAAGTTGACAATCCTAACACAAACCCAAGCAGTCCCGATGACAGAGGAAAGCGCCATGCATTTTCACCTCTCACACAAGACAGTTCGCTCCCCGAACACATTTTTCTACAGCTCTTAATAAAGCCGAGAGACGTTTTCGGTTTCAATGGCGAAATTTCTATATCGTATTTCCCAGATATTACATGCTATCGAGTTTCAGGAGCTTGAAATGGCAGCGAGCATTTTCGTCGAGCACATATCACGACTGTCAAAATCTCACATATATGGCAACCGTCACCATCAAAAGTCACATATCAAGCCAAATATCTTGTTGATCTCGTATCGAAGTCAACATTTGGCGCTAATCAACAAATTTGTCAAATCACTTCTCATCTCCAAAAAAAAAAGGTCATAAAATCAGTTGCGGTTAGATTCAACCACTTACAGATGGGCTTCGTTACGTATACATTTCTGACCATTTTTCTGGGAAGGGAATTGACACGTTATGTTTCCCTAATATCCCAGGAATAACAAATGATCCTTAATTATGAAATGTTAGCGATCGCCACTTCATAAGTCAAGGGCAAAAACATTTTTGTGTTGATAAAGGTCTTTGTCGTACCGATGTTAGATGCAGGACCACAGGATAACGTATCACGTGACATGCATATTGCTCAAGAATGTAATGGCCGTCTAAACTTGGGAAAAATCCGTACAAACACTCGACATTTTTGCAGAGATCATCAAATTCGAATCTTCTATCAATTTTTTCTGCTGTTTAATTTTTCAATTCATTCCTGTTCACCAGTCCTTAAGCTAAAAAGAACCGTTTCCGTAAAGATAAGATTTCAAGTTTGAGGAAGCGGAAGTGATATTTTTATAACAAAAAACGTTCGCACGTATTCACTCTGTCCACAACTCTTTGACCTCTTACTCCTCAAGATTTGATTGTAGATTTTTTCTTTCCAGCTACTCTACACTTCATTGTGTTTCAGCATAGAGAATTTCACGTTACATTACGACAAGAACTCTGAGAACTCTTCGTTCGTGTTTAGGATGTAAAAATGGCTCACACGGATTGCAAATAACGTTCTTAAAATGTAGGCTTAATTCTTCAAAAGGAACAAACCACGAAAGAGCAGGAACCTTAGAACGACGGTGGAACCTCTTATGGTAAAAGAAAATAATTCTGATGATAACATGCAATTATCACAAAGGTGAGTGCAAACGTCCTGTTCTGATAAAACTGCTCGATATCTATTGAAAAAGTGGACTTCATCCACAAGCAAACACTGCATAATCAAATCAGGTTTTTTTATTTATATATTCATTTCACAAATAGAAACAGCCCAATTCTTTATTTCCTTGAGAACAAAAACCACTAGGATAAGGTTTGAAACTTCCAATTGATTGAAGTTGAACTATAAATATATCCTTGATTGATGAGATAATTTAATTAATTTAACTAATAAAAGGTTTCGCTTAATTCTTTGTTATGGTAACTTAAACACTCTGTTTTAGCCAAACAGGCAGACAGACAGGCCCTGAACAAACTGTCAAGATGAAGAAAATCCATCGTTAATTAATCCCGTTTTAAATGGGCTGAACTGGTCACATAGTTAAACACATAATATTTTTTCCTAATACATATTGTGCACCAAAATAATAATGGTAACTACTACTTGGTACATCTCAAGATTATAATACAACATTTTTTGAGCTCAGTTCTATTTTGTAGATGGCTAAAGTTTTGAACAACAGTATAAGAATTCAATTTATCGATATATTTTTTCCTCGACCCTCAATCATTGGATGAACCTTATCAAGTGCACAGCGTACTTGTGCATGATAAGTTTCCATTCTTTTCTCATCAATGCAACCCAAAACATTCTCAGGTTTATGTATAATATTTTAGTGTTATTGTTCAAGCATAAATTAAAAACGTTTGCATATATGTTCAAAACTAGGCTACATGGCCGATATATTTCATAGGGGATAGAAGCCAATGTGTGTTGGGGGGGGAGGGGAGGGGAGGGGGAGGGGGAAGAACCATAACACATTTAGCAACTGGAACTGCATTTAACCCTTATGTACACTATCCCTTCCTTCCCCTTTGTACAGCGGCCATGCTCGCTAGCTACACCACTTGGTCATATGGCCTAAAACTACTCTTGGTAAATGAAGTTTATGAGCTATGTACAATCATCTGTTTTGTTGAAAAAGCTATGTGATGCATACTCTTTGTTTTCAGTCTTTTCAAGAGCTTGTTCAGCCTCCTTTATATCTGAATGAATGGCTTCTATGAGAGATTCTGAAACAGAAGTACAGCCATTAGTTCTTTTATCACAGAAGCTGAGTGTGGTTAACTCTGGTCACAGAATGCAGGAATCTAGGCATAACTTGTTCTGTAATTTCCGACTCATATCTCATGGATCTACCATGTATTCCTCCTCTCTGACAACCCAGGTTCTAGTCCTGGCTGGGGCAAGGCGTTGTGCCCTTGAGATGTGTGAGGAAAAAAAATGTGTGCTCTGCTTTTAGGCTTGGCTTAATCTATATATTATCTCAAGATCTACCACATATTCCTTCACTCTGACACCAAGTACATGTATTTGATTGTCATGGGCTTCTTTCAAAAATCAAGCACTATTTGCTCCATTATACTTCAATATTTACTTTAAAATTTAAACCAAACTCAAATGAAAAATATGCAACTGTATAAACTGTATATTATTTTCCTGCCACAAAGAACAACAAATTTGAATACTGCACTTAAAAGAAGCAAATCTGGTCGACTTCAACAGCCTTCTTGAGACAGAGAAAATTAATTATTAAAAATAAGTGAAATAAATGTTTAGGAAACTATTTAAGCCCCAGTGAAACAGTAAAAGTCATGCCCTAGTATGCTGGAAAACCCCAGTTGAATCAAAACACATGTTACAAGTTCAATATAGATCCTGAAAAAGGAAATTGAGTGCCTGGTGTGATAATGGCACAGTTGCACCTATCACTTGGGGGATCACACCTACAATAACATTTTAAAATGTTTTTATGCAGTTGGTAAACAATTTCTAGAATTTGATATGTGGGTGAGAAATAAAACAGCCCAGTGAACAAGGTGCTGTGAACATCAACACAGGTGTGGGCCCTATTTTTTTTTACTTTAAATATGATAAAAAATGACATCAACAGACAAGTAAACAGAAATAGAGAAACAACACTGAAATGTAGAAGGCAGCAAAGGAAATGATAGAGGGATAAAAAAGAGTGAGGAAAGTGTTGTGCCCTTTCCTTTTCTATTCATAGGCATATAGCATAAGAACTGAGAAATGTGACTAATACCAACCTAATGAAGGATAATTTCTTTCTGGTCGAATAAATCCAAGGATAACCACACTAAGCTCTGATCCATAGAAATCACTTTCAAAAGTATGAATTATATGAGTCTCCTGAAACCCAATATATTAACAAAGTTTACCTCTGATCATACACTAGAAATAAAAAAATTGCCTAAATATAATTTTCACAATTTTTTTTTTTTAAAACAGTTAAGCATAGAGGGAGGATATTTGCCAGATAGGACTGTTCAATATAAACGGCAAAATATATTTTACGGAGGGATGTTTCAAACTCCTTTGAGCTGCTATCAATGATCTGAATCCAAGGTATCCTTTTCTTTCTCTTACCATTGATTTTTTGGTGTTGTTGTAAAATGGATTCCAGCCTATACTCATCACCATCTTATACACAGGTCCTCTATCAACACTTGCCCAACCATAGTATATTCCAGTACTTATTGTCTCTGGTAAATTATCCACCACACTTGTAGGGAAGTTTGCTGCAAATAAAGAAAAGATGGGTTATTTACCTGTGGGTTACTGCATGTATGCTAGGGTATCTTGGGGCCAACAGTCTATTATAACTCTCTGAAGCTCTATTAGTGCTAAAAATGGCAGGTCAGCCTTTGAGCTAATCCAGAGAAGAAAGGATGATAGTACATTAATAGAACTTTTGACATTCCTGGATGAGCTTGAATATCAGCAAATCATCAGAGACATAAACCCTTTAACTCCCATGAGTGACCAAGACAGAATTTCGCCTTACAAGTCGCAGACAAGTGATGAGAATAAAGAAAAATCTTAATGAGGGGATTATTAGTTGATTCAATACCAGATTCCTCAAACTAACATCGCAAGAACTATATGGCAGACAGTCAGGAGAATTACTAATGAGATCTTGGGAGCTAAAGGGTTAAAAGAAGAAGCATCAGATTCTTCTGGATAAGGGATTACACATTTGACTAGCAAGTTCCATTAACCAGTTTCCTCAAAGGGAACTTAAAGTTAGTTTGGTTTTATTTTTAAGCAATGTACACTTGACAGCATAGATCCAAAAGCAAGTTGTCTTGATATATAAGAAATTTCAACTCTGCATTAATAATCAGAAGCTGGTTCAATTTAAACCCAGTGTCCAAATAAATGGCACACTTGAATCCTTTTAAAAACAAATTCTAATGAATACTCTCTCCTTTCTAGTGTATGTTACCCACTTTACTGAATACTATGTGATAGTCTACTGTTCTCATATATAACTGATATCACTACAGCTGAAAGATTTTTATAACACATGGCTCACATGTGTCCTGTTTTGCAGAAAAAAAACCACAAAATCATTTTGACATCCTATTCTTTTAAGAAAAATGGGAATTATATTATTAGCTCGATCGTAGGTCACCTTGACTAAACAGAAGAAAAATAAAGAAAGAGAGAGAAACGCCTACGTAATCGAACACTAAATGCGAATTACATTTTTCAGTGGACTCTGTCAGTGCTATGTCACTCGAGTATCTAAGTCCAGGTTATCGGTCAGAAGAAATAAATGAAAATAAAATGCAAATAAATACATGACACAGCAAAATTTGCGCGAGTCGCGCAAAGTTTCGCTTCAAATAGCACAGCATGATGACCACACAGAAATTTAATCAACGGCCGAAACAGCATCGCGAAGAACTTCGATGAACACGACTTTTAGCGCTAGCTTAATCCACTTTCGGTCAACGTCAAATACGATTTCTCAGAACAAAATTGGCAACAAGTAAATCCGAACCGAATACGTAGATGTAATATTATTTTCACACTACGTGAAAAACGAACACTTGGATCCGCTTGAATCCAATTTCTTCGCACGACACTCACCGGTCGGAATTCCTAATTCTTTGCTTCCTCTGCCGAAACCTTTAACAACTTCTCCTCGACAAAAGTATGGCCAAAAGTTCGTAATGATATCTGAAGGCATTTTAGCCACCGTAAGAAGTAGGGGTGACTCTCAGCAACAGGATTTTTCAGATTGGATGTCGCTCTTCACGTGTTTGAAACCGCAGACCATAAAAGATTGCGCAATAGCCAAACTTAGGTACCACGGAAGAGAGCCAGACTTGAGAAACCCTAACAGCATTGCTAAAATACCTCTCAAATTGTGACTGGGCTATACTACGTGATCTTTAGACCTTTTTTTTTAAATTAACACGTTCGAGTTTCCAATTTTATAAATCTAAGACAAGCTGAATAGTGATCTATCTCTGTTTCGGGTTGTCTCGAGACAACCGTAGTCTGACAATACCACTAGGGCTATCTAAGTATTCTCTGAGCTGCGATCAAGTTGCAAAAAAGTAATCATTTCACGAAGCTACCTCTGGTTATTTTCTGTTTATTTTCTAGCCTCAGACATTAAAGATAGCTCGCATCTTCACAAGCTTACATGTACACTTACATGATGGATCGTATTTGTAAATTCGGCTCCGCACGGAATCAGTAAACATTAGAATAGTATAGAAAACCAGTTACGTTATGTCATACCTGTAGGAATACCCAACTCTTTTCCACCCCTCCTCATTCCTTTTACGACTGCAGCCCGAAGAAACAAAGGCAGAAATGGCAAAGCCGAATTACTAACTTGTCTTCCTTGCCGTGTGAGGACCATTTCAGTCACGATCAGGTGTAAATTGTTGTTTTTGCTCACGTATTGTACTTCAGTCACGTATCCCCGTCGAGAGGACCATTTTTCGAATAGCAATCATTTGGGATCACTCTCTAAGTCCCTTTCATAGGGGACCTAAAATGTGGGGTCTCAGGAGGACCTTATGTACCATGATCCTTAGGGACTTACTAGTTTCCAGACAACTTGGGTCCATTTACCTGCCAGGTGCCACAGCTGCAATTACTTTCAGTTTGCAATATTTTTCGCGAAGCTATTAAAAATGCCTACCATTTCCGTCGAACAGAGAGCGGCTATTGCAATTGGGGTTCCTTTAGTGGCATTATTACTGTATCTGTGGTACAGGAGACGGCAGAATTCCCAATTTGGAGAGGAAGATGAGGATTTTAGCCACGTTGAAGAAAGCGATGTTGTGGCATCCGCTAACCAAAGAACTCTCGAGGTCAAAATCCCTCGAGCCGTGGTCGGTGTTATAATAGGAAAATCTGGAGCTAATATTAAAAAGATAGAAAAAGACACTGGAGTTCGTATGAATTTGATAGATGAAGATGAAGAAGGCCAAGGTAAAGATAGAACATTGCTTATTCAAGGAGAACGTGAAAAGGCCAAAAGGGCAGAAATTGTCGTAAAGAAAGTTATTGCAGAGCAACCAGTGATAAGATCGGAAGAAGTTTTCGTGCCCCAGCATGCTTGCGGAAGAATTATTGGTAAAGGAGGGCAGACAATACGCCATATGTCATCTGTTTCAGGTAAAGTTACATTTGTTTATTTTCGGTAAATGTACTCACTCTAGAGCAAAATAAACTTCCTTAAGAGTTGAAGCTAAATCTTACAGTAAGCAAACATCAATATTCAACAAGGGAACCCAACGTGATTCGCAAGGAAAGAAGATCAAATGAAAAGCAACGATAATTCGACTGTAGTTTTCCAGAAAACTAGCTATAATTTACTCTGAAATTTAAGTTTCTGGATTTCATAACCATTGTGGGACAACACTACTTTTTGAAAAAAAAACTCAAAAATTTTATTGGGTAAGTTTTTTATTCATTTGGAGAAAGTGAAACGAACTTTAACCCCAGATATTGTGAATACTAATGTTCCACTCAACATTTGTGATCTATCATAATTTTGTCATTTCTAAAGTTTCTTAATATTCATCATGTTAAGAGAAACTGAACATTTTTAACCCTTTAACTCCTCAAAGTGATTAACATGTAACTTCTTCCTATAATATCCATGCATTATCTAGCAAACAGCTAAGAATACTCCAGCTTATCAAGAAGTTTTTAACTTGATCAAACACCAAATTCTTGTAACTATCCCAGAGGGAATTGTGTAGCAGCCGGAGAAGAGAATTTAGAGTTAAAGGGTTAAAAGCGAATATTTGTGATGGCTTATTTTACTTTAAGTTGGTGTTTTTTGTACAATGCTATCTTCTGTCATTAATTTTTGTTTTTAATCACTTGGTAGGTGCTAAAATAAGGATTGATCGTAATGGTGATGACATTTCCAGCCCTGTACGGAAATGCACAGTCATTGGGACTTCTGATCAAATAGCTATTGCTAAGGGACTACTAAATGAGAAGTTGGCTGAAGATAATGAAATTCGTGCTCGCAGGGGAGATGCTGGAGTGCCGAGAAATAGACGTCCACCAAGGAAACTTGAAAGTGCAGTTGGTATATCACTTATATATTTATTGTTTCTTTTTTTTTTTGGTCTAGGTGAATGAATAGAAGACTTTTTGAATATATTCTAATATTGATTAATATTCTACATGTAAATTGTATGCTACTGTAATTTTCATCTGTCTGAGCTTGTGCTTAGCCTTTGCTGAGAAAACTGCAACATTGTGTTCCTCTGTTTCTTGATCACTTACCTGGTTTTCTTCCTTGTATTAATTGAATCACTAGATCAAACCCTTTCTCTTCCATTTATCTACTTCATTCATTTACCTCCTTTCCATTTACTCTTGTGGACAGCCTGTTTACACTTGAGCTATTAATTTGAAAGTAGAGAACTTTCCTTGCCATGTTTCCCTTTTAGAAAATTGTATATACATTAGTTGGAAATACTAATTATTAGTAACTGAGTTATGCATTCTTCAACTTTCCAAGGAAGTTATAACAATTATGAGAGACATCATAGAAAGCTTTCAGTAAATGATTATGAGTTTCTAAAATAGTGATGCTACATATTAGTATTAGTTCAAACCACAATTAAGAAAATTTATTAAATGGTATATGGCTCCTTACTTAAGTCACTGTAGTTTAAATCAGGGGTGCTGAAACATCACTTACTATTGAAATTTGAAATGTCTTTTGTCTTTTAGCTTCACCAACAACAGGGGTTGTACAGTTTCCTGCAAAAGACGACTTCTTTGAAGTATTTGTATCAGCTTTTGAAAATCCAGGACATTTTTGGGTACAGCTACTCACTAAGGACTCACCTGATCTGGATCAGCTCACAAAAAACTTGACACTATTATATGCCTCCTCTGAATCACAAGCCATTCTAAATTCCTTTAAGGTTGGAGACATTTGCTGTGCACCCTTTGAGTATGATTCCTCTTGGTACAGGGCCCGTATTACAGAAATCAACAAAGAAGGTGCAGTGGATTTGTATTATGTGGATTATGGAGACTCAGGAAGGGTTGCCAAAGACAAATTAAGGGAACTACAGTAAGTGAAGTCTTGAGTATGTAATGCACTGTTCAGCAAGTGCTGTAAAACCAAATTAACATAACAGTAATGAATTATCTAAACAATGTCCACTCCAAGATGTGAGTGAGTACGTTTAGTATAAATGTTAAATGTTAACAGTTTGTGTTTGTTGTAGTTTTGTGCATGAATGGTCCAAAAGGTGACAGGAATTTGTCTCTTAGGGTATTAGAAAACAAAACCAGTTCAATTCTATATTTCTTTTTGATGCTGAAAGACAATTAGTTGGTAATGATCTCATTGTTGAAATACCAACAAGAGCTTTACATCTATGTGAGACTCTGAAATAATGGAACAGTTAAGCAGTTGAAATTCTGGAGAGTTATCAAGTATCATCATTTAATTATAGTCCAATAACTTGTCTTGATTCACAGCAACATTGTATCTGATTGAATTGAGCTGTAAATTAATGTTTTTTGGTCAATTCATTTTAATACTGTTTTGTATGCTGTAGCATGAACCCAGTGTTGCTATCCCTCAGTATCACTGACTTTACTTAGTAAGGTCTTCTTTCCTTTTATAGACCAGAACACAAGCAGCTACCATTCCAAGCTATTGAATGTTGGCTGGCAGGTGTAACACCTAAAGGTATAATATACACTACATAGGTTTCCAGGTGCTTAGACATACCAAAAATGACAAAACCTAAAAAGGCAGTCAAATTCATGGATATATATTTATCATTCTCACTTAGTATTAAAATTACTGTTTAAATGAAGTATCAGAAGTTATTGTGAGATTAAAATTATCTGTATAGACTGAAATTGGGAGCTTTTTTTCACTTTATTTCAGATATTTTGGTTCATGAATGAAAAGTGTGTGTGTAATAGGATCGTGATTTTTACATTTGACTAGGTTCACTGTTAATGTAGTAGATGATCAAACTAATGCTTCTTGTGCAAATTTTCAACAAGTGTTGTCTTCTGTTCTTGCCCAACAAAGAGGAATAATCTTTTTTGGGAAACAAAATTGTTGACAAAGGTGCATTTGTGTATAACCATTATGCAATAAATATTTTGCTTTTCTGGTTACAGTTTTGCCTTCTAATTACTATCATAGTTCCCCACAATAATTCTTATAGCCTTTGCTAGACTCTCAGTATGTAGAAATGAGCAGTAAATCAGGGCTGTGAAAAACAGAGGGCATCATGAATAAAAAAAAGAAAATGAGAAACTGTTTTCCTTAACAACAGCAACTGTTGTTTGTCTCTTGTGTGCTCTTTTTGGTTTTCTCAACTGACTGACTATTAACTCACTACAATATTTAATAAATATAATTTTTATCTTTTATAGAAAGAAAGGACTCATTTTATGGTCATAAGTGTACAAAATTTATATTATGCTTATTGCTTCAAAATCGCTCTTCATGTTGTTTAGATGGTGAGTGGAGTCAAGAATCAATTGATGACTTTGACCACCTCAGCCACTGTGCACAGTGGGTTTCTCTGATGGCAGGAGTGGTGAAATACAGAGGGGAGATACCTTGCCTTGAGTTGATTGACACCACAGGACCAACTGTAAGTAATGATTGTGTTTATCTTGGCTAGCAATGGGGAGGGAGAGAGAGCCTGTTGGGGTAACAGGCTTCCAATCACTTACTGATTTGTAAGGTTTATGCGTGTAGAGAGAGGAGAGGGTGAATAAAGACATTCCATCAGATCTCCCTCTTCTCTTTTGCCTATCACTCACCCCCCTTAGTATAATTTTTTTCTCTCCTCAGCATTCCTCTGTTTTAAAAATCCCAGTTAGCAGCCAAACGTATCACGAGAAAATATGCTCTTGCTTGCCAAAAATTAGATAGTTAGTGAGAGCACTTAATTACAGCTGAAGGTGTCAAGATTCATTCTGGTGGAAGAATAGCTCGAACAACATATAATAAATAAAGACAAAAAAAATATTCACATAATTATCTAGAAATTAAAAAAGAAAAAATACAATCCTAGCTCTAACCATTTTCAACTGAAATTCAAAGATCTTTGCATGATATTCCACCGCAGGATGTGAACATCAACGAGGAAATGATTAAGAGGCAGTTTGCAGTTCGCGAGGTTGAGGTGTCATCAACTGCCAATGAACATGAAACGGGTAAAAGTCACACGCTTTTTCTGTCGTCATTTATTCAAAAAAATTCTGAATAATTAACTGTTCCCTTGGTGTTTTTCTGAAGAGCTTCACGATTGATATTTGAATTTAAGGAATCTAGAGATATTACTTTGAACAAATAGAATCGAGTGTATCACAGGGAACCAATTGGAACTGAAAACGAAGGCAAACGAAGCACGGAAAAACGTCTGTCTAATTCGCGAAAAGATATCGGTTTTGCAGGGAGACGCAGA